AAAAAGAAATTAAAAATGAATACATGTTCAAACTCCATTCAAATCTGATGCAATAACTTTGAAATTCCAGTAACTATCCTTACTGCATTTTATCACTGTAAAAAGAAATTAACAATGAATACATGTTCAAACTCCATTCAAATCTGATGCAATAACTTTGAAATTCCAGTAACTGTCCTTGTGCCTGCAAATACCATTTTTTCAACACAGTGTAGGTCAGGAGGGATTTTGAGCCTGAGGAGTTGGGGCTGATGGCAAATGCAGATGCCACAAACTGCACAGAATAGGATTTTAATTTTTGCCACAACAGGAAACAAATGGTCGCCTTTTTTGAGAATTTGAATATGGGTCTCCTAAAAACAGCCCAGTATTCTGAATACTTCGCCAGGGACATTCCCTTGCAATTCTAGAGACTTAATGAAGCAAAGCATCTTAATTCTGAAAGTTGTCTGCTATCTTTCGCTCTTTGATCTTCAAGATCACAAGGCAGGACTGAACTATTGATTATTAGAGTCTTGAGATGCGAGAAATGATCTCCATGTGTGGGTTCTGGAGCCCTATTATAGTGAAAACAAGAACAGACCCACTGCCTACTCAAAAGCATGTCGTAAGAGTCAACTAATTGGGAGCCTGCTGAAGTCAGAGTGCATCTGCCTGAGAGGCAAGGAACCAGCAGTCTGCATACAAATGAGTCAGATCTGTAAAATGGATGCACATGCAACACTCAGGTTCTGGAACAGAACTGCAGTCCAGAACAACCAAAATTTCCGCCAGAGTTTACAGCTGGTGAACGTGAAAAAGAAAAAAAAGTATCAATGACTGTCATCCATTGTCAGACAGTTCCCATTTTCCAAGTGACAATGGAAGGCAACAACATGGACAACATCTGAATGCTACCAAAATATTAAATTGGTTAGCAGAGTACATCAGCATACAAACTAGACATACTTTGAAATTTGAAGAAAGTATAAAACAATACAAAAACCAGTCATTCTGACAAATTTGAACAGTGGCCACAAATTTTACTGTGTTTGAGCTGGTGAGGGCAAACTTAATTGATTCATTCACTGACCATCATCATCCCCATCCTACTGTAGCTTTTTGTGTCTCGAAGTCTCGCCTTCCATTCCATTCCATCCTTGCAATTCTTTCAATATCATGGATGGAATCTAGTCCAGCACCATTGGCCTCGCTCCTAAAAGCATGTCTCAAGGTTTCTCTTGGGCATCCTTGTGTCCTCATTCCATTTGTTCTAGCTTCATTACACTGGGTTTATACAATCTAGTTCAGTCTGTCACCACAGAGAATTACAAAAAGAATTGAATTCCACAGCTCTAGTGATGTGCATCAAGCATCTCTGAAACAGCTGTATCTGAAGAGTTAGACTTCAAAATGCCCAAACTTTGACAGCATACAGCCCTCCGCTTAAACCCTTCACTACAGTGACCAAAAAATGACAAAGGTGGTAATGTGCCTCCAACTCCAAAGAAAATTCGGGAATGCAAAACACAACAATAAAAATCTTTAGTGCTATGAAAAGCATACATAGTTCCCAAAATAGAAATAGAGGAGGCCATTTCATAAAATTGCAATGAGGCAAGCAATCAGACATGAAGATATTAAAACAGAAGGAAGTACCTGAAAAGAGCAGAGCAATATTCCAGTAAGTAATAAAACAACCTTGTGCCACAAAATTATATTTTAGGACTGAAAAAAAAATGTATCTTGTAATTTGAGAACCAAGCTTGCACCCAAAACAAATACAATTAGATTTGGGGGGGGGGGGGGGGAAGGGGGGGGGGGTGTTAGTTGGCTCTAACAACACTGTAGATGAGTTGCCCCATGACTGCTACGGTGGACAGAAATGACACAAAATGCACTTCCTTATCCCATTTAAAAACTAGTGGAAAACTTGTCAGTCATGCAAAATTGTAAAGTTTGTACATGGAGAGTTTTAAAAAAAATGCATAAGGTAACTGTCAGATGTGCTAACACTAACAGTCCCACACCAGAACAGCAGCTTTCTGGTCAATCATGAAAGCTGGCCCTGAACAGGGTAAAAGTACACACTATTCTATGCATAATTGGCCACCTGCCATTTCTGTGCAGTCTACAACATGCCAGGAGCACAATAGAAGAAAAAAAAACATATCAAATAAAATCCACAGCAGTGTTGCACTTAACTCAACAGTTGGGCAATGAAACCTTTTAATTGGGTGGGGGGGGGGGGGGGGGGGGGGGAGGAAACGAGAGGTGTGTGTGAAAGTAAACAAGTGCACTAACCTCAGAGCTCCTACCATTTCTTCTTCTGCCTTTCTATATCTCCCAATGGAGCATGGGCCCTCAACCAACTCAGGCCAAGTCGTTCTATCCTTCGCCATTACATGGAGCTCTCCCCATGTCCTCCCCATCTTTCTAGCTTCATTCTCCAGCTCTCTTTTCCCCGTGTTTTTTTTTTTTTGCCTGCCTTTATTCCTATGCCCCTGTGGATTCCAATGCAAAGACATTCTAGTTATGCTGTCCTCCTGTTTTCTTAGTGTGTCTTATCCAACGCCAGCATCTTTTCCTCACCTCTTGGTCCAATGGAGCCTGTTTAGTTCTCTCCCAAAGCTCTACATTAGTTATTCTATCATATCATTTAATTCCCTCTATTTTGCGCCGGCACCAGTTAATGAATGTCTGTAATTTATTAGTAGTTGCCTTTGTTCTCCATGTTTCCGCCCCATAAAGTACTGATTTGACATTAGAATTCAAAATTTTTAGTATTTCTTTTCTACTACCACTGATACAAAATAAAAAGGAAGACATTTGCTTGGGGGGGGGGTGGGGGGGGGGGGGGGGAGATAGCATATTCTAGAGTTCTAAATCTTAGGATACAATCAAAATCAGATGACTGTTACGCAGAATATCTTTCTGCTTTTTCTCATATCAAATTCAAACCTGTCAAATTTCTACCTGAAAACTACACGCTTCCATGCATCAGGGGTGATGTGAGAAATAAAAATCAAATGGCTTATAATTACAAAACTTTTCTGAAAATAGAATGATGTACCTAAATATAAGTATCAACAGTTCAATTATAAGTAATTAATCTTATACATTATTTACTAGCTTTTAAGAACATACAAACAACATTAATAAGCCAGAACAATCAGCCGTATGAACTATAAATTTTAAAAAAAAGTACTGCACAATGACAAATGTCATGACTGCAAATAGCATATAAACAACTTGATTTACTAACATATAAATGCAATAATTACCTTGATACATACAGCTTATCTAATCAAATGGTCTTGCAGAAGATGATTTGGTTTCATGTGAAGGAATGCTTTACACTGGCTTTTGTCTGCGCCTAATTTGCATGTTCTTGGCATAGTATTTAGCTCTTTCAATAGGGGACAACTCGCCATACATTTGTTTGCTCACTCCAAAAACAACACATTATTTCTTTCTTCCACCATCAAAAGTTCTTACATTGGCTCACCATATAAAACTGACCGACTGTTTAATTCCTTTTACTTCATAGTTTTTTCATTTTAACTCCTTCAGACCAGCAAGCTTTCAAATGCAACTCTTAGGCACAGATGAGTTTAAAAAGTAATAACAGACTGGGATAGAAAGTATTAAACTGGCAACAAAGCTCCACATCTACACTAACAAAAATATGTTTGTGTGTTATTAACATTATGCCCATTTACTTATCTTAATGCCTGTGAAACATTTCTTTATCATTCAAACATTAAACACACATAATTATGGCACCATTTCTAACTGAAGCCATAAAACATCTGCCCATTTCAGCACCTTTTTTTTTCTGAAACCGGATATAACTTCAGTACTAGCAGTACTGTTTTCATCCCACTAATGAGATGAATGACATTTCAGTGAAGGCACTTGAGTGTGTCATTTACACACCAGTTGCCTTCTTCGTCTTTGCTAGCAATATTTTTAACCATAGTAACATGCAGACTCATTCAATGCCTGAATATTTCACTTCGACAGACCATTTATTTAGCATCACAGGAAAATATATGCAGCTTATGAGGAGTAAATAAAAAAGAATACAGTTATCAATCAATCAATAAGGTGCCAACTCCACAATAAAGGTTGGCTGTAACTGATCCCCACACCCTCTATGTCTCTTGCCGTGGATGTACACTTACTGTGGCTGCTGTGTGTCCATTTCTTGTTATTATTATTCCACTTGTATGACTGTCCGCAGCTTGCTTGCCTGCTTCCAGTTCTTGTCTCCAGTGTGGTTGCTGTAAAAAATACACTGCTCAGTGTACTTCCAATGCACTCCCTTCATCCTGTTCTGCAAAGCCTTCTACACCACAATTCCCCCATAACAGCATCAACATTAATCAGTAAGCTGACACAGAACGATGCAGTATCCTGGGATATATATATATATATATATATATATATATATATATATATATATATATATATATATATATATATATATATATATATTATATTATATATATATATATATATATATATATACATATATATATACATACAAATATATGAGATCTGAAAACCACCTTCTCCACAAAACACCTGACAAGCCAGAAATCAAGACCTCCCAGCTATACCGCCTCCCATTACAGTATCACTATCAACCAGTAAGCTCCCTCTAAATCATGCAGTACCCTAGAAATACATGAGGAATCTCTGAAAACCATAATCTCATTGTGCTGTCCTGCAGAGGAAAAGTCTAAATCCTTCTTCCTCCAGCATAACTTGACAAGCCAAAAATCTTGAACTCACAGCTATGAAACCTCCCAAAATATTATCGCCAACCAATAGGCCGATACAGAATGATGCAAATCACTATGACTGCAGAAGGAGTGCCCCAAACACAGCACCAGCATCCTTCAAATTCATATTTTGATATGACTTTGCTGGTGAACCTTTTGCCAGACCACAGAAAATATATGGTTGATAATCGTATGCCTCAGCTCCGTAAAAAGAAAAACTTGGCATCAATGTCACGTGTCCCCCATGTATCTCTTTTTATGGTTTGTCAACATCTCTGTCACAACCACAATTTTCTTAGTTGATGCCTGCAGAAGAGAAGAGAAGTGAAAAGAAATGTAATTACATACTGATCTAACAGGGGAGCTACTCTAGCCTTGTGGCACGAAGGTCTTGTGTTTGAAAAAAAACAGACCTTGGCTTCAGGATGATCTAGCTTAAAATGGCTACCAGGTAATGTCGTGAAAAGTAAAGCTGGCCTAGCATGTTGCTGACACCATCATCCAATGACTTCCAATGAACCGATTTGTTTCAAAACTGGCCTTGGCTTCAGGCTGACCTAGCCTACCATGGCTACCAGGTGACACCTTGCGAATTAAAGGTGGCCAAGTGTGATATCGCTCAGTGAGTGCCGATTAAACTATAAAAATATGAATCTAGCCCATTATGCCTGGTAGAAAATGAGGTCATTTACTTTACTTACTGGTCTGACATATTCCGAGAAGTCCAATGTAAAACTTCCCAACACTGAACACAAGAAGTGTTAACAACAACACTGTGATATTGACGGGTGAACAATATATGTACAGCAGTTTCCAAAACTGGGTGATAATCCCACCCCCTTTTCCCCCAAAGGATGCTGAAACAATCAGGAGGCGGTACAAGCCACAGGTGCAAGTGGGGTAGAATATTGGGGAAGGGGCAGCAGTAGTAGCATCAAGAATATGCAGGAGGGAGGCACTACAAATAAAAAAAAAAATGGCTGATGGAAGCATAAAATAAAGGAGAGAAAAGAAAAGTTGAAAAAAATAACCTCTGTATCGGAGGTTATGTAACAGTGTTAAGCTCATAGTGATTACTTAATTTTCTACAGGGACTGGGCGGGAGTGGGGAAAGACTTGTCATTTTGCATGATTAATGCAGCTGCCACAAACTGTGAAGGTTATGATTTGTACATTGCTCCCAAGAGTAAAATCTCTATTCCCTACTGAGGCTAGAACCCGAGTCCCCCGCATGAGAGCCCACCACTCTAACCACTTCACCAGCCACTCCTCCAAATATATACCGATTAAAAAAGGTTTGTGCACTTGCTAAAGACTAAACTCATATTAGTGTCATAGCAAGCAAGCCCTATACTTTCACAATCCCCAAGACAATGCAGATGTCTAGACAATGTGTTTTCAGCCAACACAGAGCTGAAACTGTCAGATGTATTAATGAGACCTGAGCATTTATGGACTTGCTCTACACATAATAAAGATGACCCAATGAATAGCTAACAGTTACATTACCATCTTTTGTCTTACATAGTATCAGAATCTATGTCTCTTAATCCTTTCACCCTGCGAATGCTTAACAACAACAAAAACTCAAGATCACATGGGAATTTCTAGAAAAAAACACATTAGAAAAAACTATTTTTACACAGGTCACTAACATGTTCTTAAGAAGTTTATGTATCTGCACTGTGGAATTTTTTGCGAAATATACAAAGATTATAAAAGGGTTATTCAATAAACATGACCAGAGTAAAGCAACAATTATAATACATTCCCCAAGGTTTGGGGGAAAAGAATACGTATCAGGTGTCTATTGCCAGGACCCCTGACCTTTATCACTGAGACTTAGGGGAAAATGTGATATCAACTTGGCTATGAAAAAAAACACTGGGGTCATGACCCCCACCCCTCACAAACCAATGCTATTTTTGGTTACTAATATATTCTGGTCTATTAAACACTATGCAGGTGCACACAGAACCATGGAATGTTACTTTTCGAGAACAGGTCACTGCAGATATGCCGATAATCTGCATTTAAGGGACTTTGTCACAACCTGATGTGACAAGATTTAGTTTTCTCAGGGCAATGGTGGTAATGTGACAGACACGTTAAATAAAGTCGAGTCTGACAAGAGCATCAAACAAAGCACAAACTCCTTAGCTCCAGCAATGATCCACAGGAAAAACCATAAAAACTCATAAAGTGAGCAATGCATCTGTAATATGAAGGCATGACCTTCAAAGCAGGAGGTAAACAACTTGATCGCTTTGCCACAAAGACCCCCGAGACAGATACATATCTTACTAGGAGGATATAAGATATAAATTTGTTACCAAAATACCAAAAAGCCAGGTACAGATAAAACAACCTACCTGAGTTGCTATGAGCGCTTTCAGAGCATCAAGGTGATTATCGCATAACTGATGAATGGTTGCAAGCTCCCGTGCTGGATCTGAAGGCAGGATGTCAGGAACTACCGGTTCTTTCGGGACATTCTAATAAAGAAAACACTGATAGTCAAACAACACAACAACAAATATTTCTGTTTGGTCCAGAGAGGTAAGTAAAGGTAGCCATACAGATGTTTGTATGTTATAAGTAAGATTAACTTCACAGCACTCCGGACACATCCATAGGTGCTCAGATTCCCCTTTCAACATATTCATCAGCGTCGCGCAGTTAAGAGTGCCAGTCCTATGTTGGTTAACAAAACTTTGAATGTGTCCAGTGTGCTTCTCATGCTTGGCTGTGCCGATCTTTACTCCCAATTCTCATATTCTTAGCAGTGATGTGGACACGTTGCTTCTAAAATCCTCAGAACGTCCTATCTCTCTAAGGGCAATGACAATGTTTGCCTGAACAATGGACCGGCCATTATTAATTAATACAGCACCCACCAGTCTTTCAGCTCTTTCATTACCAACAACGCCTGCACACCCTAGGATGAATATGAAGGTAGCTGCACACACTGAAAAAAGTAAAAATCCAATCCACAACACATAACATTCAAACAATCAAATTATGTTTTCAGAGATTCATCTACCCCGCTTAAACTAAAAGTTGCTATGTTATTCCAATTATAGATTGGATACCATATATGCAACAGAAAGACAAAATATATGACTAAAAACAAACCTCAGTGCAAACATTTTTTTTAAATATATCTCTTTAAAATAAAGAGTGAACACTTACAGATAACTCATCAAGATACAAAATCATTTTATCCCGGTTCTTTTTAACAAATGGCTGCATCACTTCCATATATGCTTCCTATTTGAAATTTGAAAAAAAAAGAAGAGAAAAAGAAAATCCATAAATCATCTCATTAAAGCATAAAACTATAAACTACTGCTACTTTTGGTGACATCCTGCAAAGTAAAAGTGACCAAGCGTGACATGACTTAGTGAGTGCCGATTCAGCTACAGCTGTAAACTACATGTTGTTTGCCAAGACTAGATTTTGGTCTTGTGATAGTGCTTGAGTGTTGCATGCACATTTGTATACAGACTGTTTGTTGCTCGCCTCTCTGGCAGAAGCAATTTGAAGGAAACGATGATGTTGTCAATGTTGACCCCCGATAGGGAACCTGACAGGCCTGACAGCCTCACCATGGTGAGCTGTAAATCTTTCTTCTTTGCGTTCACCAGCTTTAAACTCTTGTGGAAAGTTTTGGTTGTTCGTCCACTTCTGGACTGCAGTCCTGTTCCAAAACCTGGGTTTTGCGTGTGCATGGAGTTCTAAAACATTTGTGTGCAGACTGTTGGTTCCTTGCCTCTCAGGCAGATGCACTCCGACTTCGAAGGAAGTTCCCAATTAGTCGACTCTTACCACCTGCTTTTGGGTAGGTAGTGGGTCCATTTTTGTTTTCGCTATAATAGGGCCCCAGAACCCACACGGGATTGAGCTGTAAATAGGGCTTGACCAATGATCCTGGCCCTGGCGTGGCACCAACACATAGTTAGTTAGCTGACATATTATCCTCACTGTACATCGAACCATTCAGTCCATAAGTGCTCGGATTCCCCTCCTTAGTAAATCCTGCAGTGTGTAGCGGCTCAAAACGTAGGTCTGTATTGATTTCTTATTTTTCTTTGGCTTCCTGTAGAATGCTTTTATCTGGCCACAACCCATTTTACATCTTGTTCTTGCAGTCTGGTCATGGTTGTTGATTCATAGTCATCCCTTGGTTCTCACAACCATCTTGCTTCTTGTACAGCATTCAGAATACCAGCATGGTCCATCCTCCACAGTAGCTTCACCTGCAAGCTTATCAGCCTGCTCAATTCCTTGCATGCCTGTGTGCCCTTGCACAAATATGAAACTGATATATGACAGCCCTGACCGCTTTATAGACTCCAACCACCGTCTTCAGATCCAGCCCTTCTCTGTCTTCCTGAGCATACTCACAGAGTCACTGAGAAAGCATGCGTGGGAAAAGGTCTGACTCCATCCATCCATGTTATTGCTTTGGTCACTGCCGTAACCTCTATATTCTATAGTCAGGCCCCTTGTGGTCAAGGCACCAGTATCTTAGCACCATCATATGTAGTGATCTACCTCTGCATGTCTAATTTAAGCAATGTATGTTATAACTTAGCCAACTACTAAGATTTTAAAATGTATCACTTAAAAGATATGTGGAAGTTAAAGCAAACACCATCATAATAATTTCCCAAGAGTAAGTTTACGGGCTAGACAGAGTGTAGTGACAATTGCAAATGTTTACCGACCTGAAGAGCACCTGGCTGAATGAAAATACGGCTCTTACCGGGAGGCCAAATTTTTAATCTCAGTAAGGCTGTGTATTTTTTCTCTCGGAGACAAAAGATACAATTCTAACCTGCACAGTCTGTGGCCACAGCACTAGCCATGCATTCCTAAATCCTCAAGTTCAAAGTTCCCCTCATGATTACACCACAAAAGTGGTAAACAGAGGCAGTAATATTGGGGGGGGGGGGGGGGGGGGAGTAGTTTACCAGCCTATGGACTAATAATCTTAAAGCATGGCATGGGCAATAATTAAATGTCCTTTTTTCATACTTTCAGACTCATCAGACCAATACCATAAGCCCATTTTTTTTGTTTCAACAGATCAACAGGCAGATGATAAAGATACTGCTGCCTTTTCACGCCCCCCCCCCCCCCCCCCCCCCCCCCCCCCCCCCACACACACACAAAAGACAGGTCTTCAACCAACCCACATCAAGCCACTTTTATCCTTTGCCATAGCCTGTAGCTCAACCCATGATCTTCCCCAGCTTACTCAACAAAGTGCCTATTTTTTCTCCATGATTTGTGTGAGTCACTCTTAACACTTGCATCATGGAAACTTAAAACAAAAAGATTCAAAGTCTGTCAGTTAATATCCTAAAAAAAGTTATTCATTAAACATTTTTTTTATTTTAACGTAAGTCACTAATAAATGTTACAAATCTATTTAAAGTTGAAATTTTGAATTTTTTCCTCACAATATATAGATGCAGGAAAGCAGTAACCAACAAACATGAGCAGGGTGTGAATAGACACCCAGAGCCTGCCTAGGGGAAATTATTAACAACAAATAATACTACTCTAAGACTCCCGCTTTGGGACACACACATTTTTATGTCGGGGACCTCAATGTCATGAGTATGTTGTCAAAGGGAGCCAACTTTGGGATTATGTTCACAACCACTAAAACCTTGAAAAAAAATTTACCCACCACTAAAATACATCTAATGAACACTCATACATTTCAAAGGACTCGAACCCAACACTATCGGATTACAAAGCACGTTCGCAACCACTGAGAAATACCCAAAAGCAAACATAAACCCTTTCAGAGAGAGTTGGAGGGAGGGTTTTCCTCTATCTGGAGGGTTTCCTCACCCCCGGAGGGTTTTTTCTTCTTTGTCCCATGTTGAGGGTTCCCTCCGAAAGTTTTTTTTTTTCTCTATTTTCAATGCTGAGGGTTATTTGTATAGAGAGTATAGGGTTAAAGGGGTCCAACCTTGGGTTCTCAGCCCCTCCAGAGGGTTTTTTCTTCTTTGTCCCATGTTGAGGGACCCTCCGGAGGGTTAAGAGTTTTTTCTTCTTTGTGTTATGTTGAGGGACCCTCCGGAGGGTGAGGGAGGGAGTATTTTCCTCTATTTTCAATGCTGAGGGTTATTAGTACAGAAAACTGACGTCTTTAAAAAAGCCATTCAGCTCAACGGGGTAGGACTTTCTACTAAAGACCGATAGACCCTTGCTGTGCATGCTCCTCTGTGGAGTTTTTCTTATTATTACTTTACTTTATTAAACTTCACTTTACAATGAGATTAAACAACTAGTCTTACGGGGAAATGAACGCAAACGAACACTTGAACAACTGGGCGAGGTTGCTGAGAGGGCCTCGAGCTGGCTCTGGACACAACGGAACGTCGTGGGGGACGGGCCTCGGTGAGCTGGTCAGGGTGTCTAGATGCTATTGTTATTTAATGTATTTTAAACCCGACTTCCTAAATGTCTGCGCAGGTACACAACACTGCTTCCCGTAAACAAGTCTCTACAGACAAGTCAGAAAAGTGACATTTACTGGGAAATGGACTCAACCAAAATGTAAGTTTTTTTGACCTCTTGGCAAAAGGGTTAAATTAAAAAGAAAACATTGAAGTAAACAAAAAAAATAATGCAAAAGAAAATAATGAAGTAGGTCAGTAAAATAATACCTTTGGACCCATGTCAACCAGATTGGCCAGGTTCTGTAAAACTTTAGCCACAAGTTTGAGTGTTCTTGCTGCAGTTTCTGAAGGATTTTCTGAAATAATATATTTTGTATTAAAAGTCGTTATAATAAAATGACCTGCAAAATAAATCGCACAATGAAAATTTCTTGTTCTTATTCTAACATTTACAGGATTCTGGATATGTGATTTTGTCACCACACTGGCCACCTTTACGTCCCTGAACACTTCCTAGGATCCATTTCTTGGATAGGGTAGACTAGGTTCACCTGGGAGCCAGGTCACTTCTTTTGTTGTCGTCTAATCTGTCACAGGTTTAAAGGCATGTGTGCACAGTACTGAGCTACCGCAGTTCTGAACTAACAGCTACAAACATTGACTATGAAAATACATGAACAAAATTAGGTAAGTAAAGGACCCTTTTCAGCGCCTTTAGGCATATTGGGCATACAGGGTTACACCAATATTTTATAGACCAACTGGCATTCGGTGGGTGATGTGGTCCACATCGTGTCAGCTGCCTTTACTTCCCAGGACTTTACCTAAAACCCATTTAAGGGTGGGTTGAACTGGGAGCTAAGGATATTTTTAAAGAAAAAGTCTGGATCCTCCAGGACCTGAACCCACCACCTTCAGATCCGCAGGCGAGCATCTAGCCGTTACACCATGGTGGCTTCCTCTTAAAAAAATTACTATAAATTGTAGTGTACAAGTTGACCCGGTGTACAAGTTGACCCGGTGTACAAGCTGACCTGGTGTAAAAGTCAACCTCAAGATTTGTAACTCAGGCCTATTCCCATATAACACATTTATCCCCCTGTGGGTTCCTAATATAGGGAAAACAAGAATAGACACACTGCCTACCCAAAAGCATGTCATAAGAGTCAACTAATTGGTAGCTTCCTTCAAAGTCAGAGTGCATCTGCCTAAGAGGCAAGGAACCAGCAGTCTGCATACAAATAAGTCAGATCTGTCAAACGGATACACACGCAAAACTCAGGATCTGGAACAGAACTGAAGTTTAGAAGTGGACAAACAACCAAAACTTTTGGCCAGAGTTTACAGCTGGTGAACGCGAAGAAGAAGAAGATAACGCATTTAAATACCCATCATATAAATCAACCAACGCCTTGTTTTGGAAAGATTATTTAAGGCTCAAAAACTCAACTTATACACTGCAACTTATGGTATCTAGTTCACTGTTTGAACATCAACAGGTCTTTCAATGGCATGCAAAAACAAACAAAAAACTACTCAACATTTAAACAAAACAGCTTACCTGAGACTAAGTTGAAAGACTTTGGGTTTAAAATAGCTGGACACAGAAGACGAAGGAAAATAAAGCCACTGCAGACACACACACAAAAATATTAATACCGTAGCCACTTAATATACATACAGTGGCAAAAAAATTACACGGCAAGAAACTAGCTGCTCGAAAGATAAAACATCAAAATTTGGTTCTTTCGTGATATTCTACCCCAGATGACATCACAGGACAGTCCAACATTTCAGAGGGTGGTAAGATTGAGTTCCCCGAATTTCTGATGCTTTTAACAACCCTAAAAACATCTAGAACCCTATCCCCAACCCACCTACGTCCCACGAGAGAGTGCAGCCTAGGTCCAACGACTGCATGCAGCCTATTTACCACCCCCTGAAATATTAGACTGTCCTGTGACCTGTGGATTTCCGCTGTTTGTGGTAGGATATTATTAAAGCACCAACATTTTTTTATTTAGAATTGTGCTATAAATTGACAAAACTGATGACTGTCTCAAGGAAGGCTTAGTTTTATTGTTAATAATGAGCAGAGAAAAAAACCAGAAGCATGTTTTTCTTTAGAGCACAAAACGATCTAAAAAAATTAATTTTTAAAGAAGGTTGTGGCTTAGGGGTTAACAACACTACTCATAATTCCAAAATACATGGCTTTATTGCAGGTGATTTCGCAGCAGACCGCTTTGCATTGATTACATCATCTATATGGGATGTCTATTGCTGAGAAAGCAACAGCAAACTCCTGAATGTAAAACTGCCTTCTAAAACCCTAAGCAGACAACAATTGCAGGGTTGGTTTGCCAGGATAAGAACTGACTTATAAATATCACACACATAAATGCGAGCCAAGTTTGAAAAATATAACTGCAACCTGAGAAGACAAAGGGGGCTGAAGCACACATGCACCAAGGACCAGCCAACACACTGGTCAAGACCTATCCAGACCTCTCCTGGTCATCCTAGAACAGGTAAGCCTGACCAATCAATCTGAAGCTGGAGCGCATCTGCCTGACAGGCTAGAAATCAACAGTCTGCAGACTTCCTTTTTCTGCATTGTTGCTGTTTGCATTCACTGGCTGTAAACCCCACAGAAAGACCCCGGTTGTTCGTTCAGTTCTAGACTTTGCCTTTGTTCCAGGACCTGAGTTTTAAGTGTGCATCTGTTTTACAGATCTTTATTTGTGTGCAGACTGTTGGTTCCTTGCATCTCAGGTAGATGCATTCCAACTTTAAAGGAAGTCTCTAATTAGTCATCTCATATGACATGCTTGTTGGGGATGCAGGGGGTCTATTCTTGTTTTCCCCACAGTGGGACCCCAGAACCCATACGGGGTCTTCTCTGCATTCATCTAAAGATGTAACTACATTATGCCAGTTTACAGCATAGCTGCAATATTTGCACCTTTCGGTCGACACATCTGACTTCTGCAGGCATTTGTTGACCGGATTAGCCTTCCCAGATTCTGTATACAATAAGCCAGATCTGTAGCAGGAATGTGCATATAATTCTCAAGCCCTGGTACTAGACTAAAGTCCAAAAGTGGAAGAACTTTAAGTTTGCAGTTTGCATTTGAAAACAATGATGAAGAAGAAGAAGACAAAGATGAAAACCTACTGACAATACCAGTTTGCTGAAATTGATAAATGTTAGGATAATAGTCCACAGAAAAAATTTAAATGAAACAAGTACGGAATACTTCGTAACAAGAACTTAACCTTGTAAACATAGACATAATTTTTTTTTTTATTATTACATTTTCTTTAGAGGTAATATGAGTAAGAATCAATAATGAAATTCGTAATCTGTTTAAATCACCACTGATCACTGGCATCATGAGAGCTAATAGACTGAAATGGTTGGGGTATATTAAAGAATGTCAGATGACAGGGAAGTAAAAACTGTATACACAAGGGAGATGAATGGTCGTAAACCACAAGGCAGACCATGAAGAATATGGAGAGATAATGTCCAGACAGACCTGCAAACACTTGGTGTCACCAGAAGGAAAGAGAAGGCAAATCAGAGTGATGAATGGAGATGGGTGATTTATGGAGAGATAATGTCAAGACAGACCTGCAAACACTTGGTGTCACCAGCTGGAAAGAGAAGGACAGAGATGAAGGAGGTGGGTATTTCTGCAAGTGTTGATTGCAAAATTCCAATCTGCCCAAACAACACTGATAGTTGATCATGTGTCCCGTACATATTGTTTCACACAGCTCCGTATTTGTTCCTAATGTTCAGAGCTACTACTAAAGTATCCAAAGAAAGTTACTCTAAATTTTTTTCTTTGTATAGGAGCCTTTATTCAGCCACATGTAGTCACAAACTGATTTCATTCCTTTCCATACCATGCATTTTGTAATTCGTGTTCAACGCCATGGACAACAGTGTTACTACCACAAGTACAGGCCGCACTATACGTATTTTTGTGGCGGAAGCTCAGAAATTGTTTCAGTCAGATGTTTTCAATTTTGATAATGATAATACAAATTTAGATTTTCAGGAAAGTGATACGGACGGTTTATTTACACCAGTGGCAGCTAAGCGATCAGCTTTTAGGAATCTAGCGATTCTGACCAGTTGGACACAGAAAATATTCCATTCCTTCTGTATTTAGGGGGTAAAAGAAGGAAAGTGCTTTAAACAAATTGACAATACCAGTATATACTATGGCTAAGCTACAGTCTGTATAAATCTGTACAAAGTAATCAGTAAATAAATAGCATGTACGTAATAGTCGATTTTTCTGCCATTTTTTTCTCTGAAATTTTGTTCAGCACTTTGTGAGAACTTAAGAGCCTCTGAGTGCTAAACAAATCCATAAACTTATTATAACTTGCTGAATATGTTTGGAAAATGAACAAACTTTAAAGAGTTATTTTCAAATTTGGATATTCACTGCTCTTATGGCTGCAAAACCATGGTAAGTGAAGAATTTTTTTTTGCAAAATTTTGTTTTGAAATTAACACCTGCTGATTTCTTCTTTTCAACTAACTATAACCGTGTTAAACACTTATTATCATATTCAAAATGTACATTGATTTCTCTTTTTAAAAAATACATACTTTTGCAGTGATAAGAAGTATATTACATTCTCTGTTGCCTATTTTGTACACCACCCCCTCTGCCATTTTTGTAAAGGGAAATTAATGTGGGCCGAGTCTGTCAACATTCATGGGCCTGAAAGAGTTACGGCAAAATAATTAAAATATTCATTAACTTTGACGTTTACAACAGACATATAAACATAATACATTTTTACCTTACAACACGTGTTTTCACAGTATCATCTGAGGGCCATTTTGTTTTTGCTCTTTTCTGTAAACAGAATATACATTTCAGTTACCTATCATATTTTACAAAGGTAGGATATGAATTCTGTCCAAATTCTATGGTTATTGGTTCAGGCATATGACAGACCAGGCAAACAATGACACCATTTTTTTTAGGGGTATGGAGGTCATCATGGGCCGAAGTACACTTGTTTCAGCATAGTTGTCATCACTTCCAGGCTACAGGTTCGAGTCCTGATATGCTATTTCTACTGTGATGCTCTTTCTGTGTCTACTTTTTATGAGTGCTAATCAATACAAGGTAATATGTTTACATATATCCGGCAGACCAATACCTGATTACAGAGCCTGACTGGCTGGACAGGCCTCAGGCATGCAACCATGAAGTCCATTGCAACTGACTGCCAAAGGTGGAAAGAGGTGATCACACAGTCAACAGAAACTGGTGACCCAATGACACACAGTGTAAATGGATGATGATGACATCTGTACATATGCATTCAGCTTCTCTTCTACTCTAGATAGTAGAGACAAATCTTCTTCTTCCTCGCATTCACCAGCTGTAAACTCCGGCGGAAAAGTTCTGGTTGTTCGTCCATTTCTGGATTCTAGTCCTGTTCCAGAAACTGATCGTTGCGTGTACATCCGTTTCACAGGTCTGAGTTATTTGCGTGCAGACTGTTGGTTCCTTGCCTCTCAGGCAGAAGTACTCCAACTTCAAGAAAGCTCCCAATTAGTCAACTCTTATGATATGGTTTCGGGCATGAAGTGGGTCTGTTCTTGTTTACCCCACAATGGGGTCCTGGAACCTACACAAGATAAATATTAAATACCTTACACATTCATTCATTCATTCATTATGCTGTTGTGCCCCTATATGTCACAGAGAGCTTGCAGTCTATTCTACCATTCCATTCTATTCTGTACAATCACTTTAACATCACTAATGGTTAACAGTCCAGCACCTTTGGCTTCTCTCGTCAACATTCACCTTAGAATGTTTCCTCCATGTCCTCGTTCCCTCAATCCCCATATTTCTCATTTCAGAGTCAGTCCGGTGATTCTCTTACATAATTATATATGGGTATATGAATTCAGGCATGCAATACATATTGCTCCACTTTAGGGTTGTGATACATGTAAAAACCAAACAAAATCACACTTTCATATTCTTAGCTCCATCTTATACTTGTGAATGCAGACACTCATATACAACATACATAAGCTACAATCAAAACAGTGATAAGCAAATATTACAAAGCACTTACATTGGGCAAGCATCAATTGAAGAAAAAATAGATTCAACTATGTCAGTCAATAGACGCAGGAAAAACTCTGAATTTGATTGTTGATCTGTTGAGTTTTCCAAAAACTTGGGATCAAGCTGAAGGAAATTAAAGATTAAAAAAAGATCTATTTCTTATAATTTATGTAGCATAAAGTATTATTTTCAGATTAATGTCTTCAATTTTTTTTTAACTTCTTTCAACTTGTTTTCAACTTCCACTCTTACTCTAAAAACAAAACATAAATCTATTATTTATGGCATTTTTTAAAAGCAAGTTTACTGATGCTTTTTGTAAACATTTTGTTGAAATCTGAAGATCTTTTCATATAGTGAGTGAGGATTTTTTTACTGTTTGGAGTAAAATTCCATAGCCATCGTCTTCCTCTGATGCATTCACCATTAAAGGGGCAGTTAGCACATTGTGCATTGCAGTGTGTCGCATGACAGCATCCACACATCTGCCACAGCAGGAAGGTCCATATAGCTGACCACCCTAAACTCGTCATCGTAACTATGTAATAGAATAGGCCAAGCATAGTTAGATAGTTCGTTTGTTGTGGGGGAGTCCTGATAGGAAAAATCCATATAAAACCCTTTGATAATGACTCTTTTAGGCTTTGAGTGTCGAATTGAATGTTAGGACACATTTTCTGCGCCTATTCTAAATAAATTGTCTGACCACTGCACTGCATTAGTGAGCGCGATTCGTACGCTAACTGCTCTTGTTAGGGGACGTGTTTGTGTGCGTCACTTCTCTATAGTCCGGTCTTGGAGGCAGGCGTTTTTCCTTGTGTCTCGCCGATTGACCGTCATACAGACAAGATTCCTTGTTCTCTTTTTTTTATTATCATGGGTTATGAAGATCCAACAAGTGTCAGTGTCTTGTAGACTGGTTCCTTCTGCCACTACACATTAAGCAATTTACATGTGGTGAATTGTGGTCCTGAACGTGTGGACGATACTTGAGTCGTCGTCTTCCGAGCTCAAGGTGATTGTTCTCGATCAACGCCAGAAACTGTTCCTGCTGGTGAAATAATGTTGGGAAGTCTGGCGACGTGAAGATCTATTCCGGCATCCAGAGAAGCAGCCTCGTTTCTGAGAAGTCCTATCGTAAAGTACGGTAGTCGGAAACTTCGCTCCAGCATCCAGAGGAGATATAAGATCTAAACAGATAAGTCAGAGTGACCCGTATGACGGCTTAAATCTAAGTGGACCTTTCCAATCCATCAGATTCCTCAGCCATGATGATACTGGACAGAAACGTAGAGTAGGAGGAAGACACTCGCACTAACTTTGTTCTTGAAAGTATTCAATATTCTTTCAGTTAATTCTTCAAGTTATTTTTCTTCAGCTTGGTTACAGGGAACCTATTACATTGATTCTCGAGTTCATCCGCCTTCTAGTTCTTAGGAGAGTTTTGTCTAATTGGAGTTCCTTGTGGCATTTATAAACGTAGTCTTGTCTTATCGTATTCACTGTTGATTATTTGTTAGACTGGATTTACATTAATCCAGTCTGGGGGCAAACAGAGGTGAGGACGTCTGGCCGAGAGGTACCCAAGTGTTCATAATAACCCTGTGGAGTCAGAGCTCGTGTCACCTCACCCCTGAGACAGGTTGAATGGAAAGTTTGAACCGAGGGTTAGGCCTCTAGACGAACGAGAGCCACCATTCAAAACACTCCTGTCTCAGAGCACCTGAGGGATTTGTGAAAATATCCTGTAAGTAAGGTGCGCGACAAAACTGCCATACGACAGTCACTATCGTAAAATGTGGTCTCATGTCCGGGATCGTTGTTTATTGTAATTGTAATTTGTCAACAGTGAATTAGAGTGTTCAGTAGTTGTGCTGGACACTTGACCAGCTGGTTGTCATATTGATAAGCTGTCTGGTAGAATTGGTGACTACTTTGAATATATTCCTTGTAATCTTCCTGGGAAGAAATAAGAGGTTGTTTCAGTAGTCTTTGACAAGCGGTTCTTCCTGTTTTCACATTGTAGGATTCTATTGGTCCTAGTGATAGGAAGATTGTCTTTCTGAAGTAGTGACAATTGTTCTTCTGATTTGTGTATAGTGGTTTGGGTTGCATCACCACTGGCGTTTTGTGTCTAACATTTACTATTATCGTAAATTTGTGCATATTTGTTGGATCTTCTTTTAACTATCTTTACAGCTCAACATGGCGCAGTCCAGAATTTCGATTCCAGAGCTGAAAGAAATGGCTGTACAGATGGGACTGGAAGGAAGGGAGTTGACCGATTGGATTAAGACCACAGAAAGAGAAATGAGAATGGAGGCTCGTGAGTCCGAGAGGCTCAGGATCGAATCCGAGAGACTCCAGGAAACTGAGAGACTCAGGATTGAATCCGAGAGACTCATGGAAACCGAAAGACTCAGAATTCAGGCCGAGATAAAGATGAAGGAGCTGGAAATTCAGGCACAAAGAGATAGCCAGATTTCTAGATCTCAGTCTTCAGAAATGGAGACTGTGTCTACTCACTGCATCTCGACACCTGCCATGAATTTTCCTATGCCTGCCTTTGATGCGAAGCTGGAAACGATTGAGCAGTATATCGATAAATTTGTTAAACTTGCAACTATCTATAATCTTGAGAAAGATAGATATACATTAAAACTGGCACAGGGATTGAGAGGAGAGGCATATGAAATTTTTCAGCGGATGCCCACTGGCTCCGATACTGACTTTGAAGCCCTGTGCCAGGCTTTATTGAAAAGGTTCGAGTTGAACGCTGCTAGTTACAGGCATAAGTTAGAGAAATGAAAGGAAAATGATTGGGGAAACTTTTCCGCAGTTTGCAGATAGATTAAAAAGTTATATGAGTAAGTGGCGTGAAATGGCTGGCTATGAAGCTTCCTTCGAAGATCTGCAAGAATTGTTCCTAACCGAACAAGTAAAGGACACTCTACCGAAGTCAATGCAAACTTTTCTCACCGAGAACGGTGCAGAAAAATTGACTGACATTTTGGTTCATGCCGAACGGTACGAGTTAGCCCATAAAGATGATAGTTCGGGGAAAGCCAAGCCACATAATAATCATGATGGGAATAGTCAGAAAGGTCAGAAAACTCCAACTCCAGGTTCCCCTAAAAAGAGCCCATCCCATGTAAAACACCAGAATCCTTCTAAATTTGGCAGTTCGCAACAGAAACAGTTGTACAATAGTTCTAGAAAACCCTACTGTAGGAATTGCAATAATAATTCCCACCACACTAATGATTGTAAGGTGAAGTCAGCAGGGGGGGACTCAATTGTCAGCTATGTTGACGACTGTCGGTTCGTCTGCCGCAGAGAAATTATATAACCGTTCCAATAGGCCACCTGTGGTAGAGAAGGTCTGGGCTAATAAAAAGAAAATTTCTTGTTTATATGATTCGGGGTTGTCCTATTCCGCGGTCTGTTCCCCTGAAATCGTTAGAGCTGATCAGTATACAGGTGAATTTATAGAGCTCAGATGTGCAACTCTTGATGCTCAACCCATGAACTTGCCGGTAGCTAAGATAGAGGTCAAGTCTAGATACGTTACTGGAGAGATTGAGGCGGCCGTTTTGAAACGGAGTACGTTCCCTCTTATTTTAGGAGCTCGTTATGTCTATTTAGCGAATGCCCCTACACCTTCAGAACAGCTTGCGGCGATGACCACCCGTGCGCAACATAAATGTGCCACGGAAGATCAAAGTCACGTAAATCCCTTACCTGACGAGATCAAGGTAGCCCAAGTCTGACCCTACCCTTAGGGCTTGTTTCAAAAAATTACCTGTCTGTCACACTCCGCCGAGAAGAAATGATTACTTTATGAAAGGTAAGTTGCTTTTTCGCGTTGGGAGTGACCAATATACTGAGCATAGTCAGCTGGTCGTGCCACGACCATATCGGCAACAAATTCTCCAAATGGGTCACACGATCGCGTATAGTGCCCATATGGGAATAAATGCCACGACTCAACGTATTTCCTGTCATTACTTTTGGCCGGGTATGACAACGGACATATTACGTTTTGTCAAATCTTGTCCGGAGTGCCAAAGAGTCGCCCCGAAAGGCAAGATTGCACCAGTTCGACTGGGAGAAACTCCCATAATGTCCACTCCCTTCGAGAGAGTGGCTGTCGACTTGGTGGGACCCCTTCCCCTCACGAAAAAAGAAGAATGCCTATATCTTGACCCTGGTAGATAGTTGCAGTGCCTGGGGTGAGGCTGTACCGCTTCGTAAGATAGATAGTCAGAGTGTGGCTGAAGCTCTGATTGGCATCTTTACTCGTGTAGGATTTCCCACACAAATCTTGACTGACAACGGATCGCAGTTCAAGGGGAAATTGATGGAGGAGGTGTTTCAAATTCTTAAATCTCATCATATATGCACTAGTCCATATCGACCCCAAGCGAATGGCCAAAATGAGCGATTCAACGGGACGTTGATTTCACTGCTGAGGAGGTTATCCCAGGAGAAACCGGAGAAGTGGGACGAATACGTGGCTGCAGCACTATTCGCTTATCGCGAAGTCCCTAATGCTTCCACCGGCTTTTCACCAGCAACGTTGGTTTTTGGGAGGCCCATTTCTGGTCCTTTGGCCATACTCAGAAAAACGTGGACGGACGAAAATGCAGATGAGACCTTGAGGACCACGTCACAGTACGTGCAAGAACTCAAAGAAAAATTGAAGCTAGGTTGGGACCTAGCTAATAAGAATTTGAATCGTGCTCGTCAACGTTACGCAGCACACTTCAACAAAAAGACGAAGGAACGTAGTCTTGATGTTGGAGATAAAGTTCTGTTACTTTTACCAACGGGGAGATCCAAGATTGATTTAGCTTGGGCAGGCCCTTATTCCGTGTTGGAAAAAGTCTCCAGAATGCACTACAAGATAAGTGTGAAGGGTAAGTCGAAGGTTTACCATATTAATCTTCTCAGAAAGTATAATGAGAGAGAGGTAAATGGACCGGAGACTCTGTTAACACTGTCTGTAGCAATGGAGGTGGACGGAGGAGAAACCACTGCGGTAGAATATCCTCTCCATCCCGGGGAAACATACAAGGATGTAGAGATTAACCCTGCTCTCTCCTTGTCCCAAACTGAACGGCTCGCACGTCTCTTATCGGATTATACTTCCGTGTTCACAGAGAAGCCAGGGCGTACTTCGTTGATCGAATACGATATGAAGTTGGTGAGTGAAGAACCCATTCGCCAGCGCCCTTATCAAATCCCCTTTTCTAAGCAGGAATCTGTTAGAAAGGAGATTGAATATTTGCTAAAAGAAGGTGTGATTTCCCCCTCAGAATCCCCCTTCAATGCGAACGTTGTCTTGTTGAGGAAGCCTTCGGGGGAGCACCGATTGTGCATAGATTATAGGCAGTTGAACAGGGTGACGGAGTTTCTTCCTGAACCCCTTCCTGACCAAAGTCTTTTGTTTGCCCGGCTCAACAAAGCAAAGTACTTTTCGAAGATTGATTTGAGCAAGGGGTATTACCAGATACCGGTTAAGGAAGAAGTTCGTAAATATCTGGCCTTTAGCACTTCGGATTCCCATTATCACTTTAATGTCCTTCCGTTCGGGACCTGCAATGCTTGCGGGGTATTCACCAAAATGATGCGGTTACTTTTAGATCCTCTAAAAGATCCCACTATCATCAATTTTATGGATGACATTTTGGTGGCTTCCGAAACGTTTGAAGCACATATTCAGTCCTTGCAGAAACTGCTGCATCGATTGAAAGAAACAGGCCTGACAGCCCGACCCACCAAGTGTAAACTGGCCTGGCCCAATCTCGAGTTCTTGGGACACACTGTGTCCGAAGGTACGATCAAACCTGAGTCCAAGAATATCGAGAAACTCCGGAAAGCGGTTAGACCACATACTAAAAAGGAGGTCCGTTCATTCGTATCTTTGTGCGGATACTATCAGAAATTTATTCCAAATTTCAACTCCATAGCTGCTCCCTTAACGGATGCGCTTAAGAAGGACCATCCTGAAAAAGTATGTTGGACTCCTGAATGCGAAGATGCCTACAACACGTTGAAAGAGAAATTGACGTCTTCTCCCGTGTTGCAGTTACCCGATCTGTCGAAACCCTTTGTGTTGAGGACAGACGCGAGTGGCATCGGGATTGGGGCTGCACTTCTCCAATCTGGGATTCAGGACCCGGAGATTTTGTTTCCCGTCGCCTACGCCAGTCGGAAACTTAACGTGGCCGAACGCGGTTACTCATGTATAGAACGGGAGTGTCTAGCGTTGGTTTGGGCGGTCCAAAAATTTCAGCCATATTTGTATGGTGTGAAATTCTCTGTGCAGACTGACCATCAACCTTTGGTGTTCCTGGCGTCATCTGCTCACCTGAACCCAAGGTTGATGAGATGGTCGTTGCTGCTGCAACCTTATTCGTTCACAGTGGAATATATTCCCGGTGGACAGAATGTGGGAGCAGACTTTTTGAGTCGCCACCCTTCGTATGCTGACGTGCTGACTGAGGATGGGGACAATGTTGTGGAACCTGTACCTGGTGATGGTTGGATGTGTGATGCTGTCGTTCGATTCGCGTGACGCTCATCTCCTTTTGGGGGAGCTCTGTCGCATGACAGCATCCACACATCTGCCACAGCAGGAAGGTCCATATAGCTGACCACCCTAAACTCGTCATCGTAACTATGTAATAGAATAGGCCAAGCATAGTTAGATAGTTCGTTTGTTGTGGGGGAGTCCTGATAGGAAAAATCCATATAAAACCCTTTGATAATGACTCTTTTAGGCTTTGAGTGTCGAATTGAATGTTAGGACACATTTTCTGCGCCTATTCTAAATAAATTGTCTGACCACTGCACTGCATTAGTGAGCGCGATTCGTACGCTAACTGCTGTTGTTAGGGGACGTGTTTGTGTGCGTCACTTCTCTATAGTCCGGTCTTGGAGGCAGGCGTTTTTCCTTGTGTCTCGCCGATTGACCGTCATACAGACAAGATTCCTTGTTCTCTTTTTTTATTATCATGGGTTATGAAGATCCAACAAGTGTCAGTGTCTTGTAGACTGGTTCCTTCTGCCACTACACATTAAGCAATTTACATGTGGTGAATTGTGGTCCTGAACGTGTGGACGATACTTGAGTCGTCGTCTTCCGAGCTCAAGGTGATTGTTCTCGATCAACGCCAGAAACTGTTCCTGCTGGTGAAATAATGTTGGGAAGTCTGGCGACGTGAAGATCTATTCCGGCATCCAGAGAAGCAGCCTCGTTTCTGAGAAGTCCTATCGTAAAGTACGGTAGTCGGAAACTTCGCTCCAGCATCCAGAGGAGATATAAGATCTAAACAGATAAGTCAGAGTGACCCGTATGACGGCTTAAATCTAAGTGGACCTTTCCAATCCATCAGATTCCTCAGCCATGATGATACTGGACAGAAACGTAGAGTAGGAGGAAGACACTCGCACTAACTTTGTTCTTGAAAGTATTCAATATTCTTTCAGTTAATTCTTCAAGTTATTTTTCTTCAGCTTGGTTACAGGGAACCTATTACATTGATTCTCGAGTTCATCCGCCTTCTAGTTCTTAGGAGAGTTTTGTCTAATTGGAGTTCCTTGTGGCATTTATAAACGTAGTCTTGTCTTATCGTATTCACTGTTGATTATTTGTTAGACTGGATTTACATTAATCCAGTCTGGGGGCAAACAGAGGTGAGGACGTCTGGCCGAGAGGTACCCAAGTGTTCATAATAACCCTGTGGAGTCAGAGCTCGTGTCACCTCACCCCTGAGACAGGTTGAATGGAAAGTTTGAACCGAGGGTTAGGCCTCTAGACGAACGAGAGCCACCATTCAAAACACTCCTGTCTCAGAGCACCTGAGGGATTTGTGAAAATATCCTGTAAGTAAGGTGCGCGACAAAACTGCCATACGACACAGTGGTTCTCAATTAGATAAGATATGTAGACCCTTCTTATTTTTTTTTTAAGGTCTGCCTCGGCTCCACACTTTTTTTAAGTCAAGGAGGAGCCAGGAACCAACAGTGTGCATGCAAATAAGCCAGATATGTAAAACAGATGTGCACACAAAAGTCAAGTTCTGGAACAAGTCTAAGGCCAGAAGTGGGCAAACAACAAGAACTTTCCACCAGCAATTTAACCAGTGAAGGTGAAGAAAAAGATGAAGATACACATTGCATTATTCGATCGCAGAAGTTGGTGGGGGGTGGGGGAAGGAGGGGAGGGGTCTAAGCGACCCCTTCTACTTCAATGTTATTCATAAAAATCTATATAAGAATTTTTTTTTTTTTAATATAGGGCTGGTTTTATTTTTTTTATTTATGAAATCATGGACCCCTTACATTTGTTACAATAACTAGGAACCACTGCTCTATCAGAAGATAAAAGGCAGAAAAATAGCATGCTTTGCTACTGATGTCTGTCCTATGCTGCATGTCGTCTGTGAGTCTCCTGGGGTTTCTTCTTCAGTCTCTACATGTTTGGTCAATGAATAATTTTCTTAGTCAACTTCTTTATCATTATCCAGGACCCTTTGTGGGTTCCGGGGTTCCATTGTGAGGAAAACAAGAACAGACCTACTGACTTTCCAATAAGCATGTCGTAAGAGTCAACTAATTCAGGGCTTCCTTCAAAGTTGTAGTGCATCTGCCTGGGAGGCAAGGAACCAACAATCTGCATACAAATAAGCCAGATATGTAAAATGGATGTGCACGCACCACTCAGGTTCTGGAACAAGATGAAAGTCAACCAGAACTTTCCCCAGTAGTCACAGATGGTGGATGCGAAGAACAAGTTGAGCCATGAATGTTTGTTTCCATCACTTTCTTTTTTAGATATTCATGTAGCAAAGCCATGCAGCCTTCTCTTTTACTCTGATTTTCTTCATGTCTCCTTAAAAATTTTTTTTTTTTTATTCACAGACATAACCACTCACCTCACACGACTGTTTCAGCTCAACAATTTTCTGTACAGATTCTTTCACTGCCTTGTGGACAAAATTAGTTGATGTCATTTTCATGTATTGCACCATCAAAGTTGTGGCAAGGGAGCCCGCCCTGAACAAAGTCGAAACTTCATCTGAGAAATAAACAGGATAATTAACAAACAAGCAATACCTATTTTAAAACCTAAGAACAATTTAACTAGAATGCATTTACACTGAAACCCACAAAGGTACAGCTATAAAGGCTGGCCAAAAACACATGGAGAAGAGAGCTAGAGAGTGACATTTAAAAAGTTGGGAAGGCACTGGGTGAGCTGCATGCAACAGCAAAGGTCCAGGACGGCTTGCTGTAAGTTGGTTAAGGGCCTATGCTCCATTAGCGGATAAAGGGAAGAAGAAACAATACCCATTTGAAATCCTCACAACAGTTAGGGATATTGTGTTAGTTCCATATTTGTTATATCATGTCAGTTCCATACTTCCCTGGACTTTACCTGGCAACAGAGGCTGAAATAAGTTGATGAATATAATGGAAAACAGATACAGCTATTCAAACCTGGCAACCAACACATCAAATCTTGACAAGTGCTCCCAAGGTGGCAAAGAGGTTACATTAACAATATCTTAACCTAGCCCAAAACTTACCCTCTTTCTCAATCTCCTTGTCATTGAGAGCACAAAGTAAACCTGCTTCTTTGCGTTCATGACGGAATATCTGCAAAAGTGCATAAGCTAATGTGGCCCGTTCACTTTCACCAGTCACTTGCGACAATGTCATGATGTGCTCAAAGCCATCATCCAGCAACAACTGCAAGAGACAATACAATCAACATTATCAATCAGCAATGTTATATAATCAACATTATCAATAGGTAATGTTACACATACAGTGACCACTGGAAAGATCTGTGGAGGGAGGGATAGAGGAAGACTACGAGAGAAGATTCTTGACAGTCTTGTAGCATGGCATGGAAGTGTGTGGGCACACAAACTGATATATGCTGCAGGGGATCGCATACTGTGGAGAGGCATGATCGCCAACGCCAGTCGGCCATGCACCTGTTACACAATCAACATTAAAAATACGTAATGTTACACAATAAACATTATCAGTCAGTAATGTTACACAATCAACATCAACAGTCAGTAATGTTACACAATCAATATTATCAATCTGTAATGTTACACAATCAACATTATCTGTTAGTAATGTTATACAATCAACATTATCAGTCAGTAATGTTATACAATCAACATTATCAGTCAGTAATGTTATCATCAGGCCGACATGATGAAAATTCATACAAATGTACAAATTAACGGGAAAGACCTTATACTGATTAGGAACATATACCGGAAACAATAAGCTGTTATAAGAAATTATAATGAAGCAGGTCTGTACCAACCAATCAAGAGAGATGTGCGACAGGTGTGTATGTCTCAAGATCTTTTTCCTCATACAGCGAAAATAATATGCAACATCTGAAACTCGTGAAGGGAATTAACATGGGAGGATGTATCATCAACAATATAAGATTTGCAGATCATACAGTGCTAACTGCAGACAGCGAAGAAGAACAAAGAATTACGTGTAATACAATGGAACGAAATCAAATCTCTTTCTTAAATGTCTGTTGTATTGTAGATACAGCGTTACAGTCCAATATGTTATAATTGTTGTTGTGTTTGTTACTCGACCTATGCTTGTTTAAAATAAATTTCTGTAACCTATGGTGCCATTTCAATCATGTGAGATGAAGTCTGTATGTATTCCACAGTTGTGGATTTCGAGCTGAATGATAGACATGGCCAATGAAGACACCTTTTTAGGATCCAGATGGTCATGTTCTTAGTACACTTGTTTTCATAGCAAGGTGCACAGGCCATTTGGAGGTGACAGGTTTGATTCCCGGCACTGTAACTAAGGCGTTTGATTTTTTGTGTGTCTAGTGTGTCCTTCTATCTTACTACTTCATTCGACAAGTGCTGATCAATACCTTGTCTGTTTGTTTATTATATAATATTTCTATGGCCTCAAGGGTCCCCCCTCTGTTTATGCCATAATTAGTCCGCTTTTACAACATGCTTGTTAAGAGGCAGTGGGTTAGTATTCCCCAAAACCCCCTCCAAACCTGGGCACTGAAACCCACACAAAAAGTTATCAATAAAACTAATACTAATTTTTACAATACCTGATAGCACTAATGCTATAATTTTTACTATAGCAACAAGGAGGAGCTCATGGCAGATAGGGTCAGTACATTTGTCATGTGCTCTGATGGTCATAGGGTCATTACTTGGATGTGTTGTTCAGTTCAAGTGTAGTTTTTGCGAGATCCCTGGGATAGTCACTGCAGCTATGGAGTTCATCCTTTGTGTGATGCTATCAGCTGGTAGCTAGTTGATCTACAGAAAGAGACGAACTGTATGGGGGGTATACAGGGTGTAATTAAGTCAATCGTCTTGATTATAATTTTACTTTTAACGATTGGCTTAGAGGATAGCAAATGCATTGCAAAATTTCATGATCCTTGAGAGCTGGGGTTTATTTACCAATGAGGGAAATGTGGTCTTGTGGTTGTCGGACAGTGGTACGAGAATAGTGCCATGGGAGAGTTCGCAGCCTCACTGTGTAATATTCCCAAAGACAACAGTGACACACTGTAGCCAAAATTCTTTGTGGCAACTGCACATATTTTTTTTTAAACTGTAGCAACAAAGTAGACAACACTGGCAACCCACCTCCTTCAAGCTTGTATATTCATCTTGAGGCATAATGATCTCATGCTGGTACCGAGATTTCAGCCTGAGGGAGCCCATTTCTCCTTTCACCGCTGCCACTGACTGGAGACTGTAGGTGTCATCAATAAAGCTTTGACCAGACAGATCAGACAGACGAACAGTTACCGTTGCTGAATGGGATATGGATAAAGGTTAAAATTTCTGTCTTGAATACTGTAAAAAGAATTACAGCTAATGTTTTTTATATTATTTTACAATATGCACATCTCTGCACGAAGGAAATTAAATTTTTTCTGTAAGAAATGATCAGACAAACTGTCACCGCTGCTGAATGAGATGTGGATAATAGCTGTGAAGCATTACTGTCTTCAATATCGTAAACAGACTTAATAGATAAATTTATGTATTTATTTACAAAATGCAAATTTACGCACAAAGGAAATTAAATCTTTTCTTCAGACGAACTTTCACCATCGCTGAAGGAGATGTGCATAATAATATTTCTGTTTTAAATATTGTAAAAAGACTAACAGCTAACTGTATATTTATTTACAATAAGTAAATTTGAACACAAAGGAAATTAAATCTTTTCTGCAAGAAATTGAACCCCCCCCCCCCCCCCCCCCCCCCCCCCACACCAAATTAACAGGTGCCTGCACTTAAAATGAGAAATAAAATGGTATGAAATAATCAATAATGCAGAACTTAGGGAGAACAAAAGAGACTCCAGCGTATCAAAAAGTAAGAAAACATCATACGCTGGTTATGACAAACACTGAGAAAGCCGGGTGAAAGTATAATTATAATGCTATTTTAATAGAACTTAAAGGCAAAAAAAATAGGAGGAGGCCTTAAAAACTAATGGAGATGACAATTCTTCTTCTTATTCTCCATGCTATGTGACATCAGTAGTCAAGTCTATCCATCACCTTCCGTCTCGCATACTTTCAATAAAATCTTACATGTATGATCTTCTATTCCCTGTCAAACTGTCCAGCATCCTCACTCTCGGTCTCACTCTACATCTTTTCCACTCCAACTTTTCCACTGTCGTTATGTACTCCAGTTTTCTCCTTATGACATAATGACATGAATAAAGAATGCAGACCGGCTCCTTCTGATGTAGGCAATCAGTTTCGTGAGTCAGTCTCTTTCAAGACATATTCATTACTCTTAATCTATTCAGGGTATTATCATCATTCATCAATAAAACCACATCTGCGCTGCTGCCGACCAATTTTACATTAACCATCCAACTGTCTATGATTGATTTCCGTGTATTAGGAAAGGGTTTAAAAAGCTCTTGAATACTTTCTTTCTCGTCTCAACTGACATAGAAAGACTGCACAGAACATTCTTCATTTTGTTAAAAGCTGACTCTGCTTGAGCCATTCTATACTTAACTTCTTTAACACAGGGTCAGACATGACTTTTGCTTGCACAATACTCACAGCAGGTTGTAATTTCTTTCTGTGAGAGCAGTGCCCACACTGGGCGGGTGGTCCTAGCCACTGTGCCTATGAGATGTTGAGATGACAATTAGGCAGATGAATATGGGAAAGACATGGAAAGTGGCAGCAGAACATCTAGGAGGAAGGCGAGAGGAAAACCAAATAAGAGGTGGATAAATGGTGTAGCTGAAACCTGCAAAAGGATGAACAAATTCATCACAAAAGTTATACAAGAAGTGCAAGACAAAGATAAATGCAGAAAACCATGACACTGGGCTATAACCTGGTATCAGTGAGACGACACAAGGAGAAGAAGATGGAAAGGGGCTGCAAGAGATGGCCCAAAACAGGACTGCTTGGTATGGGTTGGTTAAGACCCTATGTTCCAATGAGGACTAAAAGGCATACGATAAACTCTCCTGATAAAAAAAATTTCCCATGACAACTTGTGAACAGACAAGTGTTTTATTCTTTAGCTCTGAAATTTGAAATCTAGACAATATTAAACAAACAAACAAAGTTTTAAGTTGCTGAGATGTGGTTCTACTATTGGATGCAAGAAATGAGATGGACAAAATAATAGATCAAGTGAACAAGTTCTTTAAGACAAAGAAACAAATATACTAATATTATAAAGTGCATTTGTTTAAAATGAATTTAATTAATGAGATGACTTCAAGAGTGGTAGAGAAAAAAAGAGAAATTTATGGGCAACGCTGGTAACAACAGTGGTGGGGAATGAACAGGCAGACGGATTGGCTGGATCTGCATCACTGGGTAGTGAACTGATACATGACAAGGTAGATGTGATCAGGGCCCTTTGGGAACAAGTAATGAAGACAGAATAAAAAATGGATTATAAGGGCCTGAAAAGAATGATGCACCCAGGTGTGACCAGGGGGTCTGGCCAGCTCACTATGCTCAGAGGAAAGGCCAGACAGACATATAACCAGACTATGACCAGTACCATTAGTACTGGAACTCTGCGCTAGCTGCTGAAGATGGTGACAGAGCTCACATGGGAATGCCAGGAGTGCTCTGATATCAATTCTTGACTCAACTCTCAACTCAGGTCAACTCAACTCAACAACTCAGTTATAAAAAAAAAAGAATTTGGTGCTATGCTGGACACATCCTGAGAAGAAACAAACAGAGAATCACCAAACAGGCACTAAAATGGGAAACAAAAGCAATGAGGAAGTGAGGATGTCCAAAGGAAACCCTAAAACAGACAGTGATGAGAGAGATCAAAGTTACTAGACTGAATTCCATCAATGATGTTGAAAGGACTGCACAAGATAGAAAGGAATCTGAAAATAAGAGTAACATAACTGCACAACAGGACAATGATAATCATGATATTTTGGCACTAATATATTTGTTTTAAAAATATCTATGGACATTTTCAAATTTCTTTTTTTTTTTTTAAATACAAAAAGATATATAAAAAGAATTATCAATAAACATGAAGCGGGTGAAGCATTGAATGCAATACATTCCCTAGGACTGTAAAAAAAAAACATAGTAACCCGATTTATATTTTTTTTTTTTTTTAGTCCAGGGGAATGTATTGCATTTTAATGCTTCACTCTGTTCATGTTTATTGACTACTCTTTTTATATATCTTTATGTGACCTAGGGTGCAAGGTGACCTTGCAATGTCTATCACTGAGGCTTATGGGAAAATATGACATCAACTTGGCTTTAAAAAAAGCTTTTAGCTATAAAAAAAAATTATAATACTATTTGCAATATATTTATATCCTGACCTCCTGAACATGTGCACATGTGCGAATGCAGCCAATCGCATTAACGATACATCTTATTAATATGTCATTGTAGAAAAGTTTGACATTTACAGTGAACTGGATCCAACTGGAAGGTTGGTTTTGTAGCTTCTTGGAGAGAACCAGCCAGCAAAGAGTTCCAATGTCAATGGTACCAGTAAGTTTCACTACATGTCTGTCTTGCCTTTCCTCTCAGTGCCGCGTATCGGTTAAATATCCTGGTCACTCCCTGCTGCACCATTCTGTCAACACCGTTAATGTTCACTTGACCCACATCTAGCTTGTCAAGCATCAACCCCACCACTCAGTGAAGCAGCCCCAGCAGGAGACACAGATTCCCAACCCAGATACAGCAGTTTTCTTCTTCATGCAATCTCTTCTCTGATGTCAATACAGTCAGACAAGTTTACCAGTTCAACAAACATTAAACTCTAAATATCTCTAGCACTCATTATCTAGCAATAGTAAATAAAAACAACAAAGACAGGACATCTAAACAAAATACATACATAAAACATAGAGAAATACAATGTTAGGAGGCAGACAAAGTGCATGGGGGTTCACAGCAAAAGCGAATGGATGTCACTTGGTGCAACAAAGCCTGGCATATGATACCACAACATGTAGTTTGAGAATGGAGGTGAAGGCAGTCAGTGCTGCCTTCTGCTGGCTTGAGAACCAACTTTACACACACGTTCTAATTGTAACTGACTTACAAAGTATGTTAAGAAAGATGGAGACAGGTATGCTCCGCGCAGTGTGGCAAGCATCGATTCATTCCCAGGCAGTTAGCTTCCTTTGGATATTTTCTCCAGTTGATGCCAGTGTGCTGGAAAATGAACAGGCAGATAGTCTGGCTGGTTCTGCACTACTTGGTGGTAAATTAATGTATAACAAGCTTGATGTTGTAAGGGTCTGTTAGAAGAAAGAACAGAGCCGAGGCACAAACATATCATTATGATCTGAGGAGAATTGGCGCTGTGACGAGTTCCAGAGGATCTGGCTGATGCTCAAAACTCAAGGGAAAGGCAAGATGGATGTATAATCAGTTACTGGTGCCTCAAAACTGGAACTCTTTACTTGCTGCGGAGGATAGGGACGGAAAGCTGATGGGAATGTCTCGATGTCAATTCTGAATGCAACATTTAAAAGAAAACTACACACACAAAAACATCACATATTGCCAAAATCAAGTACTGTTGGACAAATCAAATGTAATTACCAATCTCTGGATCCTTGTCTTTCAGTCGTTTGGTTTTGTTATATACTGAGACTGTAAATGACTCAACAGTTGGTGGGATATCACTGACGAAGTAAACATACACATAATAACTGTCAAAATTTTTCGAAATGTTGAGCTTGTTTTTATTTTTCTTTCATTTAAGACTATTTATCAGTTGATATTTTAACAAAGGATCAAAGTCAAGAAAAGTAGCCTTTTACTGTGACTGATGGATCAAGTATATGGTGGTGAACCTATATTTTATAGGCCCATCAGTGCTCAATTGGTGAAGTCATCAACACCTTTCTTGGTACATAAAAATCAGCCTTGATGCAAACCCAAAATCTTCAGGGTGGTAGGCAAGCAAAGATAACTAGCTGTATGCATGGGGTGGACGTCTGTGGCAAAGTTGTCCAGCATTACGCTCTGAAAGCTTTGGATTCTTTTCACGGCTGCGTATTTCAGTTCATGAGTGTAATTTTTACAGAGACCTCTGCGGATCATCACTGGCCCTACAGTGTTCATACTTTGTGGAATGCTGCTGGCAGGCAACTAGCTGCTCTGCTGAGAGAGACTGAAAGACTGAACTATATGGAAAAAATAAACTCAGTGCACTGAAGTAGGTCCTCTCGGTTTTAAATTTTAACTTTCATACTGCTGTCTAAAGTAACTTTCATACTGCTGTCTAAAGTAATTTCATTCTGCTGTCTAAAGTAACTTTCATACTGCCGTCTAAAGTAACTTCCATACTGCCGTCTAAAGTAACTTTCATACTGCTGTCTAAAGTAACTTTCATACTGCTGTCTAAAGTAACTTTCATACTGCTGTCTAAAGTAACTTTCATACTTATGTCTAAAGTAACTTTCAAACTGCTGTCTAAAGTAACTTTCGCACTGCTGCCTTAAGTAACTTTCATACTGCTGTCTAAAGTAACTTTCATACTGCTGTCTAAAGTAACTTTCACAATGCTGTCTAAAGTAACTTTCATGATGCTGTCTAAAGTAACTTTCATACTGCTGTCTAAAGTAATTTTCATACTGCTGTCTAAAGTAACCTTCATTCTGCTATCTAAAGTAACTTTCATACTGCTGTCTAAAGTAACTTTCATACTGCTGTATAAAGTAACATTCATACTGCTGTCTAAATTAACTTTCATAATGCTTTCTAAAGTAACTTTCATACTGCTGTAACTTTCATATTGTGAAATAAAGATTACTTGTTTTTAAAAGACATAAACAAATGGGGTTTTTTTTTTGGGGGGGGGGGGGGGGGGGGGGGGACAAAATGACAAGGCAAACAATACTGAATTACTTAGGGAATATCCACACACATAAATATTAAATAATAAATGTGAAATGCATACTTTAAAGTGTGCGATAAATTATTGTTTCATTTTACTGGGGCAAAAATCAAGAACAAGCTAAAATGTGAATGATTTGAATGTCTTTTTACCAATTCAGACCCAAACAGGTTGTGCGGTTTTTTTTTAAACGTTTAAACACAGAAAGAAAAAAGTTTTCAACAAATGGCGGCAATACACTGAAACAAGACAATGAATTGCTCACTCTAAAAAGAAATCTGACGACCAGAATGGATTGATGCCTTCGCCAACTTCAGTACGCCCAACCTTGACATTGTTTAAAGACAGTACACAATATGGGTGGTTAAAGTGTTTCTGGGGCAGGCGGTGGGCATCCATGATGCTAACTTCCAGTTTGTGAAACTCCTTCAGCATGGAGTGATGCAGCTGTGATTTTGTAGCACGAGAGTTGTCACAGTATGGTTTCAGAAACTGGATCCATTTCTAAGCAAACACAAAATAAAATACATTCTGGTAAAGCCCCAAAATGAAAATCAAACATATTTATTTATTTATTCACTTATTTTTTTGTGTGGTAAATCTTCTTTTTTTTGTGTTTGCTGGCTATAAACTCCGGCAGAAAGTTCTCGGTGTTTATCTACCTCCGCACATTAGTCTCATTCCAAAACTTGAGTGCTGTGTGCACATCTGGCTTAATTGTAGGCAGACTGTTGGTTCTTTGCCTCTGGCAGGTGTACTTGAGCTCCCAGTTAGTCATCTATTATGACATGCCTGTTGGGAGGTAGTGGGTCTCTTCTTGTTTCCCCCCCCCCCCCCCCCCCCATTGGGGCCCCAGAAAATTTGTAAACAAATATCACAGACCCTTTCAATATGTACAACATGACCTGCAGACCATCAAATGGGAAACACTGCATTACATCTTAGAGGTAAACTAAAACCATGTCAGTGCAAACAAACAAAGAAGAAATGGTAACAGTAATTTCTCTTGTGTTCATTTTAACAGTACAATGAACACAAATGTTTGATGGCTTCATAACTCATCACATCTGACAGAATAAATAAAAGCTTACGTGAGCCAGGTCCGAGCTGTCTGCACACACATAACATATCTGCTCATTGTTGTTGTCATAATTGCTAACAATCTGGAAACAGTATGGTCTGAAAATAGCCAGGTAAATCAACAAATAAATGTCTGTATTTGTGTGTGTGTGTGTCAGTGTGGGTGTGCTGGGTGTTTGTGTGTGTGCGTGCATGTGTGTGTGTGTGTGTGCACACGCACAGGCACATTTGTGTGTGCACACGTGTGTATGTTACGGCTGACTTGCACTTTATATTTAACATTCAGTCTTCACAATTAAATTAATCTATTCTACCCGATAGCTGTTTGTTTTAATCTATCAGATACCAAAGTGGGCAGTAGACTCTGATATGGGTGATGGAAAGATCCATGAACTCCGAGATTTTGAATTTACAGTAAATTAAATTATGCTGTGGTCGGCATGATACTGATAACAACATCCATCATGTTAAAAGGGGTGTGTGTGGCCAGATAAGAGCACTATGGTGGAAGCCAAAGAAGAATAAGAGACCAACATAGAACTGGTGTTGTGAGCCGCTACACGCTGCAACATTTACTAAGGAGGGGATCCAAGCCTTTATGGACTGAATGGTTCGATGTGTAGTGAGGATAATCTGTCGACTAACTAACTAGCTAATCCATCAGGTACCAGGGTCTACAAAACTATGTGTCAAGCAGCATATGCCCATTGACAAGGGTCTAGAGACATGAAAGTGGAAGTCTGAAAAATGTTAGGGTGATCACTGCTTTTTCTTTTTCTGTCCAAAACAATGCACAATGTGTATTTATGTCTATCAAAAAGTTAATGGTTGAAATCGAGTGGATCGACTTCATTGCACTGGGTTTTATCCTATATGGCTTGGTATCTCTCCGCAAAACGGCAAGCAGCCTGCCTAGAGCGTCGCGCAAAGCACAAATTCCTTAGCTACTACGACAATCCCCAGAGACCACAGTAAAAACTGCACTCGTGAACTGAAGGGCACAGCCGTGATACAAACCCCCTATCTTCAGAGCCTGAGACAAAAGGCTTGACCACTTTGCCATGGGGACTGCCATTAATAAAGGGATGCTGCACGTGAGAATTGAACTCACAACCTCTGCATATCCATCAAACACAGCATATTGTGTTATTTTATATATTATGATCCAAAGGTCATGGGTTCATTTTATGGCTGCGTTGGTCAGGAGTACAATTTTGTTTGGAGATCTCTGGGGATGATCACTGTAGCTTAAGAGTTCATGGTCAATGTGGCACTGCCAGTAGGTGGCTAGCTGTACTGTGGAGAGAAACTGAGCTATATGGGACAAAACCCAGTGCAATAAAGAAGATCCTCGCAGCTTCAAGTTTCACCTTTGTATCTATTATGTCTTGTCTCAGAAAAATGAAGAAATCTAGCAAGTAATTTTTACAATCACACTATAATGAAGTGCTATTGCGCTCATGCTTTTATAATCGTGGTTGCTGTGTCCGTTGAAAAGCTACTACAAAATGTGGAATTTAATTAATCAACCCACAGAGTTACTTTCAGCTTGTAATTCAAACATTTGTTACTTTACCAGTGTCCATCACATTTACAGTAAACACAGGTTAACAAAGCTCAGAAGTAATAACAAAAAGCCTAATATTTAGTGACTTTTTAATTTGTCAAAAGCCTAGTTCAGGCATTTAAAGAATTATTTTTATATCTATCTATCTAATGGGCTCCAACTCGCCTAAGGGACCTAACATCCAACACAGGTTTGTTTAATATTTTTTGAGTTACGACCTTTAGCTATCTTTTTTATTTTTTGGGGTAAAGTATTCACTGTACTTCCCCATCCGGGGCCCCATCGTGGATAAAAACAAGAACAGAACCCACTGGCTGCCCAAAAACAGCATGTCATAAGAGTCAACTGATTGGAAGCTTACTTTGAAGCCAAACTGATTGGAAGCTTACTTTGAAGCCAAAGTACATTTGCCTTAGAGACAAGGAGCCAACAGTCTGCATGCTAATGAGTCTGACCTGTGAAACGGATGTGTACGCATCACTTAGTTTCTGGAACAGGACTAGAGTCCAGAAGTAGACGAACAACCAGCACTTTCCACAGAGAGTTTACAGCAGGTGAATGGGAAGCAGAAAATGATTTTCCGTACCCACAGGAGAGACATCAATTAGGTGATTTTATGTATTCTTGTTTGTGATTGTAACAGTTGAGCTGAACTGAGTCAAGAATTGACATCACAGAGGCTGAAGAGGCATTCCCATGCATGCTCTGTCCTCATCTTCAGCAGCCAGTACAGAGTTCCAATACTGACAATCTGGTTAAATGTAAGTATTGCCTTTCCTCTCAGTGTAGTTAGCCAACCAGACCCTCTGGTTACACCCAAGTGCCTCATTCTCTCCAGTGATTGTAACACTGTCTGTTCATGTGATATGCTGATGAATGCTTTTTAGCCACAACCATTACTTGTCATTTGTGAATATGATAATGTGAAACTGACAGGCTCTACTTTTCGTTTGGTGTGATATTTTTTCATGATATTCATAAAATTGAGCCTCTCTATTTTCCTAGAAATGTTTTCATGATTTTTTTAAAATTAAATAATAATAATTCTTCTTTTGTTCGCTCAAAAAAGATTATCTAAATCTGCAATGTTGTCTCTAGTATAAACTTCGCTGTCTTTTTGAACTCTTTCAGTACTAGAAGATGATTTTTGTAAGGAGATGCTAATGCAGAAATATCAGTCATTAAAATTCATAAATGCATTACTTTCAGAGCGGTAATATATCAGTATTAGTGACCTTTGGACATGCCAGATTTCCTAAGTGTGCTATGACCAAATTAAAAACAGAGCATATTAGGCTAAGGAGAGGATTGGGCAAACAAGGTGTTAAACACATCATGCACTGCTTGGGACCCAAAGAGTTAATTCACTCAGCAGTCTTTGAAGTTTAGCTTCCACATGTGTTTTTCTTGGCCAACGTTTCGCCTTGATACGCTGTCGTTGGAAAAGTATATTTAAATCAACTAATGTAAGACTAGACTGGCATCTCTCAAACTCTCCAGTATTTTTAAAGGACCGGATAATATTCAAAAATGACCTAATACTACATCTCCAATGGGGTGAAATGAAGTGAACTTTTACTTTTTTTTTCCCACAAATTTACCCACCAAAACGTGAAAAAACAGGACATTTTAAAGGTAAATATTTTCCAGTTCAAGAAATGTGATGTCACAGTCACACAGTGGTAGGCGCACGACTGTGGTTCAGGCGCCTGATAATTTTCAGAATTTTCTCAGAATTGCTTTGGAATGAAAGTTAATGAGGAAGTTGACAGGTCACTTTTGTCTCATAAACCCAGATTATGTAAAAGCCAACAAATCACAACCCTTTGACAGAATTTGCCATGAATCTTTTTTTTTTTAAACTTAAGAAAATCCTCACCTTCCAAATAGACTGTCATGAACAGGATACAAGGCACTGTAACTCAGGTCGATGATTCCCTTGGGTTTGGATTTCTGTGAACCATCAAAAGCAAACAAATTAGGAAGAGTTTTGAGGCAACTGAGATATGGCTCTTGAGAAGAATGTTGCCAGAATAAATATTAATGATTGCCTGGAAATGGCTAATGAAAGTAGAATATTATATACAACAATGAGAAGGAGACAAAGTTATTTGGCCATGTGATGAGAAAAGGAGCCCTTGAGAATGTCGTCACGACTGTAATGATCCCTGGTAGAAGAGACAGAGGCAGAGAAATGATGGCGGATAGCTTAAGACAGTGGCATGGAGGAATATCATCAGTGGAATTGATCCAGAACACCAAAGACCGAGATCTGTGGAAATGAACACCTACGCCAGCTGGCAAAGCACTTGATGATGATGATCAAGAAAAACTAATCAGCACAACATCATAACAAAACTGAGATGTCTTAGAAGAGTTAATGGAGTAACAAGTGGAGATAGAATTAAAAATTAGGAAATTAGAAGACTAGAAATGAAATCAGTCATATAATTCATTAAAGAAACAGATGATATTTGACCGTCTAACAAGAATGCTCTGGTACCAAAGGCCACCGACAGCCATACTGAAGAAATGGAATGAATACAAAAAGTAGGAACGACCATATATAAGATGGAACAATAGCACCAAAATCAGCCTTCAAGAAATGAAGATGAATTTAGGCAATGGATTAGAAAAATTATATTCTTATTCATCTTCTTCTTCTTTTGTTCACTTGAAATAGATTACCTATATCTGCAATGTTGTCTCTAGTATGAACTTCACTGTCTTTTGTAATTCACTCAGTGACCCATAACAGTTTGGCTTACACCAGTGTTTCTCTAGGCCAAAAGTTTTGAGTTGATATGTTGATATGGAAAGATCATACAGAAGATCATGACATCTCACCAGAGCAATTCAATCACGTAACTGGAGGAGGAAAGAAAATCAAGGAAAGAACACTAATTAATCTTCTTTTTCTTCTTCTGTCCTCCTGTTTATGCTGTACGGCAAAGAAGAGTTATATGTTGTTTCCTGTCTTTTGCTAGTTGTGTAACTTGTGTTAATGTCAAACTGCTTTTCTGTAGTGTGACTTTTATTTTCTTCACTCATCTCTTTTTTGGTCGGCTTCTTGACTTGTAGCCTGTTGTTCTCATGTACTGCGCTCTAGCTGCTGGCTGATCTGACGACCCAACCATGTGATTCTCTGATGTTCTGTGAAATCATTTACCCTTTACACCCACCCTGAGTAAACAGCTAATAAAGCACTAAATCTCAAAGCCGTATTCTTATCTTACCCCCCCCCCCCCCCCCATATAATTCATTAACCCACCAACATTCACAAATGATTCAAAATTTAAGGAGCCACATCATGTCCTCTCATTCTGCTCCTCTTGTATCTTGCAGCATTGAGGTGAAGCATAAACAGCAGGAGACTGCCCTTTTACGTGCTCTGTATAAAAGGGTTCCCAAGGACTCTGTCCATCATTAACATGGTGAGCCTCTATTTTGACAGCCACATTGACAAAAAATCCTCATCACTATTTGTAGTACACCATTGTCTGTTGGTAGTCATGTTAGAGGCTACATATTGAGCAAACAAGACTCTCCATCTGTGTTCTGTGGCCCCATTCAGGGAGGAATAATGAACATGCTGCCCTCCTTCTTCTTCTTCTTCTTCTTGTGTTCGCTTTCTGATTTACACTGACTGACAGGTTCTTGTGATAAACTTGACTGTTTTTATGAGTTCATTTTTAGTCCCATACAACTTTGTGTACAGTGGTGACTCACTGGGCCAGTATTCCTTTCTTAATGGGCTGAACAAGGGACAGTCTTGCAGGACATGTTCTGTAGTCTGCACACATAGCCCACAAGGGCAAAAAGGTGAACTACTTAGACGAAGCCTGTGCATATGCTGGTTAAGTTTGTTATGTCCTGTCCTGTGACGTAGGACAATGACCTGCCCATGCCGGTCAAGTAAGTGGTAGTCATCTCTGGCCACACTCTGTTCACTTCTAATAGCCTGGATGGCCCTTTTCTTCTCATAGTATGTTACTGCATTCTCTTCCTGGTCATATTCTGCCCCTTTTTTAGCAAGTTTATCTGCGGTTTCATTTCCTGGTTGACCACAGTGGGATGGCACCCACTGGAGTACAGTACACTTTTGGGCAGCCACCTTGCCAAGTTCAGATCTCAAGTGAGGGAGTTTGCCACTCTTGAGGGCTTGAAGCACTGATAGCGCATCTGTGAATATGACCACTTGGTGGCAGTCAGAACTGGTGTTGTGTAACATTTCGGCAGCCTGCTCTAGTGCTACAATCTCTGCTGTGTAGTTGGAACAGAATTTACCAGTGGGTATCCACTTTGTGAGGCGGTGGTTGCCTGGGTATGTAATAAAGACTCCAGCACCCCCATTTTTAACCGCACTGGTTGCTGATCCAGCTGCCCTCCTAAAAGCATGTCATTAAAGACAACTAATTAGGAGTTCATCAATTTAGGATACGCACCAAAAGGCAGATAATGCAGCAGAGCTGTAAACCCCAACAAAATGAGACAACTGCTCTTTTAAGAGCAAATGTAGGTTAAGAAGAAGCACAGCACAGACTGGTTGGAATTTTGCCTATGTAAGTAATGTTTTCTCCATGCATTTTAGATTCTAAAATGTTAACAGGCACTTTAAAATAGAATTTTTCTACCTTGTCATTCTCAATGTAGTACAGATATTTCTCTGTGCCGTTCAAAACAAAATAAAATGGCTTCCAGATCTTTTTTCTGTCACCTGCAAATAAAGAGAACAAGGAAATGTGTGAACCACATTACTGTCAGCTCCAATTTTAATATTACCAGACATGAGACAAAGCAAACAAAAGTACTGGGACAGCTAAGTTCAGAAGGAAGGAAAGATGTACGGACGGATGGAAGAAAGGATAAAACATGTGGAAGAAGGAGGAAGAGGAGGAGTATACAAAGTGGTTATCTATCTTACCATTGTAACACAGTTCCTTGACATCTAAGATTGAGTTATATTTGGGCAGTGTTACATTTTCTAGAAGTGTAGATGATCTATATTACCTTAAAATAATAGCCATCACACAAAATTCCTCAATCAATTTGAAGAAAATACTGAAATGTGACCTAGGAAAAGACGGAATGCTCAGAAAACTACCTTAGAAAAATGAAGACAGCTTAACAGACAATCCTTGCATCTCCCCCCACAACAATGTTGAGATTAACAGAGAAAGAGAAGACTCAATATAAGAGACAGGCCACTATCTGGCACTGTTATTTCAAAGCATTTGTTATATAAAGCCTATTAGTGGCTGTAAATGTTGCCAGGTGGGTCTTGGTCATGGTTAGATATGACTGAGCTACTGTATAACAGTAGCCTGTACTACCTGCTCTCTGTTAATGCAGAAATTTTGGGTGGTGTATACAAAATCTTACACCCCGCTCTGCACCAATGGCTTTGGGCAGAGGGACGAATAGGGGAGGATACTAGCCTTATCAAGAAGAAATGCAAACTAACAACTTAATGCTCTGCAGATGCAACACTGCTCTTCAGATCCTGCAAATTCTGCAGCATGCTTTGATCAAAAAATAGTGTTATCTTTCTCTTGGAGTATAAAAGGCAGGCTGAGGGAAGGATCATGCTGCACTGGCAATACATGGTCTGTACAATACTGCTCAGGCTTTGTGCTATCAAGAGGAGGAACGTCACCCTTGGTTTTAATTACTGCTAGGAACTGAAGATGAAAAAGTGCCAAAAACAACAAATCAAACCAAAATCTAAGTACTGTCAAGTAATTGTCTAAGCCAAGTCCCCCAAACAAAGAAAAAAAACACACACAAATACGATTTTAAAAATATTTTCTTAGCTAATTCAGAGCGAAAAAGGTTACATTACCTACAAGTAAGCTTACCCATACATCATCAAACATGATGTGGATCCATGGAAAAAGGATGCTATTGATTGTGTTGCATGGAGGGGGAAAAAATTATGAAGAGAATAGGGACAAAAGATAAAAAGATTGCAGACAGGTTGAGAGCTGAGTGTATGAGAGAGACTATGATAATGATAGCGATGTATGTGAAATATAAAGTACGTGAAAGATTAAAAGAAGCATAATTCACAAACACATGAAATGACTGATAACAATCACAGAACAAATTTACTTCGCTTGCTGAGATATCCAGTCATATCAATGCGATCATTGCTGCGTGTCAGCAAACTTGGCCCAGAACTCTGGCGAATCGACGAGTAGATTTCTTCTGTTCCATCAACCGCTTCAAATCTGTCATCAATGTCGTTGAGCTAAAGAATAAACAACTTATCTGATGATAAAGAAGAGAAAGGAGGGGGAGAAGAGGAGTAGGAAAGAAGAGATAAAGAGGAAGAAGAGCAGGAAAAGGGAGATGATGTCGATGATGATAATCCTTCTCCTTGCACAAGGCAAAAACCAGAAGATACTCAGGGAAGTACAGTGACTGGTGTGAGATTATCTATCTCTTCTCAAATGCCATTTGGCTACTATTGTGCCAAGCACCATATATCATGTCCTGGTGGCATAATAACGGTACTTTACCTTTCACATTATAGTTCTGAACAAACCAAAGGAGATTTGAGCATGTCTGGTACTGGCAGCAGCTTGGATTAGATGACATTTTTTTTTTTTTTTTTTTGAACATATTTTTGTGTTTAACTATTTTGTGAGCTCAAGGGCCAGATTGTTAGCTCAAAGGCCAGATTATACAGTATTTTACACCAGTCTCGTGGGCCAGTAAAAACTGCTCGGTGAGCCAGTTTTGGCCCAAGGTCATAGTTTGAATCCACATCAGTGCCAGTTTTTTCAGGGCAACTCAGCCTAAAATGCGTACCAAGTAATGTCCTGGGACATAAAGGTAACCAGTATGATGTTGACCACATCATCCACTGAGTGAAGATTAGTCTTTAACATCATGGGTCTATCCATGTCAAAGATGCCGCACTCAGGTCACTTTCCATCGTTCGTCTCCGTGTTGTTTTTGGGCGCCCCTGTTTTCTCTTTCCCTATGGTGTCCATGTGAGAGCTGTTTTGGCAGGTATAAAGAAGAACTGGCAAAATGATGCTCTTGTAGAGTCTGAGTTTTGTTCCTCTGCAGTAATTGTTGGATTTCCAGATTTGCCTCATCCGTCTAAAAGCAGCTCTAGCTTTGTTCAGGCATGACTGTATGTCTTCCTCTGTCCCTCCCAGTAGGGACAAAACACTGCCAAGATATGTAAAACGTTCTACATTTTCAAGTGATTGGTTACTTATGGTGACTGGTTGTTGGTTTGGACTGTCATGATCTTAGTTTTCTTTGTATTTATTCTCAGTCCCACGTTGACATGGAAAACTGCACTGAAGATTGCACAGGACAGGAAAGCATGGAAAGTCCTCTCTGAAGCCTCATGTGCCACTATGCATAACGAGAACTGATGATGATGATCACGGGTCTAACATCATATGCCCCGCTGGCCTAAAAAAGATTTCTTAAATTACAATTACTGTAAAAAATTGTCTTCTTTTTCGATCCTTCTGTCAAAAAAATATCAGGAGGCCAGTAGCCTTTATGAAATCTATTGTGCAGTCCGTATCTTCTCGTGCATCATACAGTTTTGTCTTCATTGTGGTTGGAACAAGCCAGATTGTGTCTCTGTTATCAGCATACAGTGAACAGTGTTGGGGCACATGCTCAGCATTTTCGGGTGGTGCCACACTGCAAGGACACATCTCCGTGTTTCCTACACCGAAAAGTTTGAACATATGTTGATGAAGTCTATTGTGCCCTATATATAACACACTGTCCCTCACTAGAGAGGCGATGGAGTGAGTCTTGAGGAGAGAATTTGGTGTGTGTATACAGCAACCTTTCTCAGATAGTAGATTGTATTAATGTCTTAGTCTCTTGGTGGATTCAGACACTATTTGGTTGTACCATGCATGTGACTGCTGCTTCTGGCCAATCTGTACACTATTTCATTGCCTTCCAAGCCTTAGTGACATGATAAATTATTAGTTGCCCAGCTGTGTCTGTTTTCCAAATACATTTTCTGTTTTCTGCCTTTCTTGCATAATAATTTCCCACATAATACCAAATTCTCTATTCCACCTATCTGTTTGATGTCCCATACATTTCTTTAGTTTTTTTTTTACTTATGGTTTTAATGAATGATCTTGTAATACTTGCAGGATTTAGTGTGTCTGTATATTCTCTGTCCATTTTCTCAAAAACAACATTTTTTATGCTTCAAGTTTCTTCACTACTTCATTTTTCATTCTCCAATATTTGCAAGCTTTAAGAAACAAACAGAGACCTGCAAACAAATTGAGGCAGATTTTTAAAAAAAAATGTTTTTTAAAGTATGAAGAGAGGACATTATTTTGTTTTGTTTTTTTATGAAGTCTACAGATTACTTAAAACTGTTTATAAAAAAAAATAAAAGGTTAAATTATAAAGTGTCAGTGCATATATATATTATATGTTAGTAACAACAGTTATTAAAAGGAAAAATCATTGTAGAAACTGAGGAGGAGGGGGGGGGGTGATATGAAGCGCAAATGTTTTTTTTTTCTACATCATTTTCAGAAACTATGAAACTACCCAAAGTACATCTATAATTTTATCGAACAAACAAGACAATTTTCCAAAATCTGAAAAAAAAAAACAATGCAACTGAAAAATTATTGAGTGAGTGAATGAGTACCTGCCCGTGTGTCACCGGGGCCCTCACGGGAAGCAAAGAATAGTGACACTGCACCCTACCAGGCATGTCGTAAGAGGCGACTAAGGGTAGGGTTGGGCTTGAGGTTGGCTACCTCATCCTGTAAAAACCATAGCCACAAAAACCAACCAACCATGGATAAGTCAAAAAAGAGAAGCAAATAAAATCCAGCAAACCAAGATGAGGGGAGGCTCTTCAAATAGAAGAAGTATGACACGGTGTGGAGAAAGCCGTAAGGAGTCCGGATTGTTGACGTACCTCCTCTCAGCTAGGAAAACCTCCAGAATTGGCACCTGGAATGTTAGAACTCTCTATGATATAGGGAGAACAATGGAAGTAGCAAAGGAAATGAAACATTATAGAATTAGTATTTTAGGGTTATGTGAAACTAGATGGACTGGGGCAGGGAAAAGTATTCTAAATTCAGGAGAAACTATTTTGTTATCAGGACACACAGAGGAAAATTCGCCGCACAGTGAAGGAGTGGCCCTGATACTATCAAAAGAAGCAGACAGGGCACTGATAGAATGGGAAGCTGTGAGTCCCAGAATAATAAGAGCATCTTTTAGAACAGTAAAACAGAAGGTGAACATGTCGGTAATACAGTGTTATGCACCAACAAATGATAAAGATGCATCTGTTAAAAGGAAGAATTTTACATGCAGCTTCAAAATATTATAAATAATGAAAGAAAGGGCAACTTAAAATTTTTGATGGGTGACTTGAATGCTAAGATAGGATCAGACAACACAGGTTATGAAGAAATTATGGGGAGACATGGTCTAGGAGTAATGAATGAAAATGGAGAATTGTTCACAAATTTTTGTGCAGGTAACCAGTATGTTATTGGTGGAAGTATTTTTCCCCATAAAAGTATACACAAGGCAACATGGGAATCACCAGACCATAAGAACTAATCAAATTGACCACATATGTATTAACAAAAAGTTTAGATCATCCCTTTACGATGTTAGGGCTTTCAGAGGTGCCGATGTATTTACTGACCATTTCCTGGTGGTAAGTAAAATCAAGTTGAAACTAAAAAGATATATAACATCTTATAATCATAGAAACCAATATAATGTAGGCTTTCTCAGACATAAAGAAATTAAGGAACAGTTCTCAGTTACGGTCTCTAATAAGTACCAGGTGTTGCAGCAGTTAGCTGAAGTTGTCAACACAGAAGTCTGCTGGGATCAGATCAAAGGAATCTGAAATGAATCTTGCGTAGAAGTTATTGGCAAGAAAGAAAGGAAACATAAAGCATGGATAACACCAGAAATCATTAAACTGATTGAAGATAGGAAAAGTAAAAAGGCAGAATTAAACAATAGCAAAAATAGAGCTGCTAAAGCTAGAGCTCAGGAAAAATACACAGAAGCCAACAAGGAAGTTAGGAGGCATATAAGGGCAGATAAAGTGAAATATCTAAATGATCTAGCACAAGAAGCAGAGACAGCAGCAGCAAAAGGAAACCTCAGAGAACTTTACAGTAACACAAGAAAATTAGTAGGTAAATATAGTCAGCCAACTGGATCAATCAAAAATAGTCAAGGAAAGGTACTTACTAACACTAAAGATCAAATGGACAGATGGGTTGAATATTTTGAAATGTTTCTAAATAGACCAGGCCCAGAGGTTCCCCCAGATATCCAGCCTTTAGAAATAGAACTAGATATAAACTGTGAGATACCATCCAAAGAGGAAATTAGAAAAGCTATAAATCTTCTCAAGGAAGGAAAGGCGACAGGCCCAGATGGTATCCCAGCTGAAGCCATCAGGACCAACATAAACACATCAACAGAATTGCTACATAGATTATTCAGTAAAGTCTGGGAGACCGAAGAAATACCAGCAGACTGGAGAGAAGGATATCTTGTAAAACTGCCCAAAAAAGGTGATCTACAGGAGTGTGTGAAAACTATAGAGGAATTAAGTTGCTGTCAGTTCCTGGAAAAATATTAAGTAGAATTATTTTGGAAAGATTAAAAGATGCTATTGATAAAATGCTAAGAGATGAGCAGGCAGGTTTTCGGTCAAACAGATCCTGTACTGATCAGATAGCCACATTACGTATTATAATAGAGCAAAGCATTGAACTGAACTCACCACTTTACATTGGATTTATAGACTATGAAAAAGCATTTGACAGCATTGATAGGGAATCTCTCTGGAAATTGATGGGGCACTATGGAATCCCACAGCAAATTATCAACTTAGTAAAGGCAACATATAAAGACATAAAATGTCAAAGTTCTTCATGAGGGAAAGCTAACAGATGCATTTGAAATAAAAAACAGGTGTGCGACAGTGATGTCTTTTGTCGCCTCTCTTATTTTTACTGGCTATAGACTGGACTATGAAAACAGTAACTGCTAACACCAAGAATGGAATTCAGTGGACCCCTACGAAACAGCTTGATGATCTGGACTTCGCTGATGATATTGCTCTTTTGTCCCATTTACGGAATCAGATGCAAGATAAATTAAATATACTTAATGCGAGATCACAGCAGCTTGGTCTGAAAATCCATAAAGGAAAGACAAAGATAATAAGAATAAATCAGGCAAATAGTAATGTGGTTTCTCTTAATGGCACCCCACTCCAAGACGTGGAGTCGTACACCTATTTGGGCAGTTATGTAGATAAAGATGGAGGAACTGATAGAGATATTAAAATAAGAATACAAAAGGCAAGAGGGGCTTTCATAGCACTAGGGAATTTGTGGAGGTCAAAAGAAATTAAAAGAAATACTAAACTAAAAACTTTTAATTCTAATGTCAAATCAGTACTATTGTATGGGGCGGAAACATGGAGAACAACCAAGGCAATTACTAATAAATTACAGACATTCATTAACTGGTGCCTGCGCAGAATAGAGGGAATAAAATGGTATGATAGAATAACTAATGTAGAACTTTGGGAGAGAACTAAACAGTCTCCAGTGGATCAGGAAGTGAGGAAAAGACGCTGGTGTTGGATAGGGCACACACTGAGAAAACAAGAAAACAGCATTACTAGAATGTCTTTGCATTGGAACCCACAGGGGCATAGGAATAAAGGAAGGCCAAAAAACACATGGAGAAGAGAGCTGGAGAACGAGGTAAGAAAGATTGGGAGGACATGGGGAGAGCTCCATGCAATGGCGAAGGATAGAACGACTTGGCGTGAGTTGGTTGAGGGCCTATGCTCCATTGGGGGATAGAAAGGCAGAAGAAGAAGAATGAGTACCAGAAAGAGTATAATGTAAGTGTGAAATAAGTGTGAGAAGTACAGAGTATGTATATAGAAATATTTGTTCTTACCCGAGTTGTTCTACACACAGCAGACACCAACTTTGATCCCTCAACAATCTCCTCTAAAGTGTATCTTTTGATTATGTCATCCAACCTGGCAAAGAACAAATGTGCACTTGTTGACAATAATACAAAACACCACTTGTCATTGTCATTGTATTTTCTTTTGTGTCCATATTGTGCTTTGTGCCGCTAGGCGTCACAGGTTATCACACGAGCTAGAGCACACTCGATTGCTCATCCATCTTTGGGCCTTGGTTTTGTTCCAGAAATTGACTTTTGCATACAAATCGGTTGTACAGATCTAGCTTATTTAAATGTAGACTGTAGCCTCTCAGGCAGACATGTTTTGACTTCGAAGAAAACAACCCTAATTAGTCACCATTTATGACATGCTCATTAAGAGGGCAGTGGGTCTATTCTATTTCCCTGGAACCCACATGGGGGGGGGGGGGGGGGGGGGGGGGACATTCTTTTAGGTTTAAACAAACAATAAAATGTTCTAAATAAAACTTACGTCTCAAAGTTACGACCACCAAGATGCAGATAGCGTCCTTTCTTTTCTATACGAAACCTTTTGACCTCTTTCCCACACAGAAAGAAAAGTGAATAGTCACCAGGAGAGTTTTCACTAGGGCGAACTAAATAGCTCCCTTCTCCAGCTGGAAAAAAAAGGAGATATTTTTGTAATCACATATCTTATTTAACCATTACTACAACAACAATTAAAAAGTAGTCCCCTATAAATCCTTTTATTAGACTGTTAAGAACTGGCGCTCACACATTTCAGGCCAAGAGATAATTAGCTGACTTTATGCCAAAGTCACCTAAAAGCTAATTTCTATGTTTTGAGTAAACTGCATGCAGCTAAACACTGAAATCAAATTAAAACTCCCCCCCCCCCCCATGTGTGTTCTGGTGCCCTATTATAGGGAAAACAAGAATAGACCCACTGCTTACTCAAAAGCATGTCGAAAGAGTCAACTAATTGGGAGCTTCCTTCGAAGTCAGAGTGCATCTGCCTGAGAGGCAAGGAACCAACAGTCTGCAAAAAATGTGTCAGGTCTGTCAAACGGGTGCACACGCAACACTCAGGTTATGGAACACGACTGCAGTCCAGAAGTGGACGAACAACCAGAACTCTCCACCAAAGTTTACACCTGGTGAACGCAAAGAAGAAGAAGAAGAAATTAAAACTGTGTAGTTGCCTGCAAAATAACACTTCATTCTGACCTATCTGGGGTAGGAATTCAGACATGAATCGGCCACGGTAGACAAAGGAAAAGCAATGGACAGGGCCGACATTCTCAATTCTCTCAAAAAGGCAGGACGAGACAATGATTCGGGAGATGATGTTGAATCGGCAAAACTCAAAAAGACTACCCAAACACGAAAATAAGTCAAAAAATGGTGACGCCAAAAGTAAACACCATACAGGCAGAATAGTAAACCAACACTGGTGTCACCACACGCTGAGGGATGTAATGAAGATGGAATCTGCACGTTTATGGACTTGTCCTATGTGCACTGAGGATAATCTGTTGATTAACTAACTAACTAACATATGTACCTTTATCAAATTATAAAAAGACAATTAACAGCCCTGAAAAGGCACTTAAGCGAACAGTGTCAAAACTGCCCTCCGGTGACTATGGCGTGGTATTAATGAATTATGAGCTGTAGCGGTCAGTTGCCTTCCTTGTAATTTCTTTCCCAAACAATTCCCCAGCACATTCTGAAAATCATCAGGTGCATATTTTTATAAGACTGGTTTAAATAAAAAGAGCCGAATAAAAAGGACTACATCCACATGTGGGTTCCAGGGCCCAGTTTTGGGAAAGAACAGACCAACTGCCTCCCTAAAAAAGCATGTAGCAAAAGCACACTAAACAGGGATTTTTTTTCTCCGAAGTCGGAGCTCATGTGCTTGAGGGGCGAGGAACCATTAGTCTGCACAAAAGTAAGTCAGATCTGTAAATCGAATGTGCACACAGAATACAAGTTCTGGAACAAGACTAAAGTCCATACGTGGATGAACAACCAGAACTTTCTGCCAGGAGTTTACAACCAGGGAATACTTAAAAGAAAAAGACAGGTGTACACACAAATTAAAGCTAAAAGACAGCTATAATCTTGTCCGTTGGCAATTTCTGTTTTTCCAGAGGACACTGGTCTATTATCCCACAGGGGGTATGGGAATCACAGCCTGTGTATGAAATCACTTAAGGCCAGGGATGAAGTTCCTCCTCTCTGTAGCACAAAGCTTGGGCCATTTTGTAGAGACCAAAAATCGCCCATACAACATCATCCCTCTCTCAGTCTGATTTGTTAACTCCAAAAGAAAGGTAACACCAATTAATTTGGAACTAAGCATTCATATCTTTAACATACAGTCTTTTCATAACTAATCTGTAATCTCACCTGTGATGCTATATTCACTCAATCATCTATTTTTCTTAACTCTGTAGCACACTTGCAAAAAAAAAATTGTGTTCTTGTGCACGTGTTATAAACTAATACATATTGCAGCTTGCTGACAAAGAAGAGCAGGTATGAACAAAAACATGAACATGACAGACCTTCAAAGAGAAAATTGAAAATGTAAACTTGTTATAAAAACTCGATGTAGACTAACAATTTTTGGGGGTATGTTCTGAGAAATAAACTTAAAAAACTGCCGCCCCCCCCCCTTTTTTTTTTTTACATGCGAGAAATAAACTTAAGAACTTCCTGATTTTTGGGGGTATGTTATGAGAAATAAACTTAAAAACTAAGTGACAATTAGAAAATTTGATAGGAAAACTTTTGACCATCTCACATGTCATGAGGAGGACAAGAGCACAGACATTATACCAAGCTGGTGATCATGTGAGATGGTGAAGCATGGCCGCTCAGAGCAATCAGTAAGATACACGATGATGATGATGATGATAAACTCATTTACACGTCTCATAACCTTCTATCTAATAATTTAATCAATATGTGCAAACTAAAATGTTGAATGTTGAATGTTGAAATAATAATCAACATTATAGCAATCGGGTCACTCCCATAAGCGCTCCATCCCTATCTTTAGCAGCAAACGAATTATTCAAGTTTAAACTAACCTTTCATAAGTTTATCTACAGCTTCCTCTTTTGTGATGTAGCCATGAAAATATGGAAGGGCTTCCACAGGGTCACCATTACAAGACTGTAAGAGTGAAAAACATTGTTATCATCTTTCATGTTAGCTTTAAAACAAGAAAATGTCTTCTTTCCATTTCCCAATGATTCATAGATCCTTAACCTAATCACAACAAGTCTATTGTAGACCTGCTCAATATTGGTTTCTTCTTCATCGATGTTCATCTCAAGATGTAAATGTGTCCTGCCCATTTACAGCATGGGTGTAATATTTGCTCCTTTTGGCTGACAAGTCAAACTTCAGGTACTTGTTGCTTGGGTTAGCCTTTTAGGAAAAATGAATGGCAAGTTCATAACTATAAGTTTAACAGTATGACAGATTCAACAATGCTGAGCTTTGTTCGAGAATTAAACAAATTCCTGTGTATCAGTAGGTGAAGAAAAAAGAGACTGGCTTTGGTTAGGACAGACAATAAGAAAAACCTGAGAATATAACTAGAAGGGCTTAAAAACGAACCCACAAGAGCACAGAAATAAAGTTAAACCGCCCCCAAAAAAACATACAGAGAAGGGAACTAAAGCGAATTTAAAAACGTAAGGAAGATATGGGGTGAGCTGCATGCAATAAAAAAGGATAGAAAGACATGGCAAGAGCTGGTTGGGGGTCTATATTCCAATGGGGAGTAAAGGGAAGAAGGAGCAGAAAATTATTGATCTTTTTCTTCCTCGCATTCACCAGCTGTAAACTCTGGCGGAAAGTTCTGGTTGTTCATCCACTTCTGGACTGCAGTCCTGTTCCATAACCTGAGTGTTACATGTGCATCTGTTTTACAGATCTGACTCAACTGTATGCAGACTGTTGGTTCCTTGCCTCAGGATGATGCACTCTTACGAGATACTTTTCAGTAGGCAGTGAGTCTATTCTAGTTTTCTCTGTGATAGGGCCCAGAACGTATTTAGAAAAAAGATTCATGACAGGTTTGATCTTGGAAGTTTTTTTGTGTTGTTTTTTGGTGAGATGAGATAATCAGTCTCAGGCTAGCCGACTTAGCTACCTTCTAGGATACCCAGGGTAGGTTACAGAAATTAACACAACAGTCAACAGAAGCTTCTTTATATTCACAAAGTATATGCCAATCTTCTTCTTCTTAAAGTTCACCGACTGTACATTCCAGTGAAAATTTTGAGTTGTGTGGCACTTCTTGACTTTGTCCAGAAACTTGTTTTTGCGTACACGTCCATTTTAAAAAGAAAAATCACAATTTAGTTGACTTTTACAACATGCTTGTTTGGGGGGAGGGGGAGGTGACATTCGGTCTATTCTCTTCGATCCCTACAACAGGGTCCCAAAAACCACAGGGGAACTGCAATTATAAATTATCCAATGTTTTTAAAAGAAGTGAGAATACTGGGCAGGTCAATCAATTTACTGTTCAGCTGCACAGCCTCTTCTTTCACCGACTGTAAACTCCGGCATAAATTTCTGGTTGTTCATCCACACCTGCACTATAGTCTTGTTCCAGAACTTGAGTTTTTCATGCATGTCCATTTTACATACAAGGCTTATTTGTATGCAGATTGTGTGTTCCTGGCCTCTCAGGCAAATGCACTCCGACTTCAAAGGAAACCCCAGAAATGAGTAGACTCTAACAACATTTTGTTAGAGAGGCAGTGGGTCTCTTATTTATCCACAATAGGGGCCTGGACCCATTCAGGGATATGTGAGTGAAGCTGTAACACAAACATGATGAACTGCCACACTAAACAAATTTACAAAAGTAAGCAACAACATGAAACCAAACTCATGACAAGTTAAAAACAAACAAAAAAGCACAAAAAAATATTTTACTGACAAAGTTCAGTTATTCACAGTTCCAACTTCATGGCACATGAGTCTCCCAAAAATGTTCTGCTCCTTTGCTAATGGAAGCCACAGAGAGCCAAGAGTGCAAACGCACAACAAATTGCATAAGGGAGCAATCAGAAGTACCAAACCAAACAGACAGCCACTAGAATTGCAGTTCACTATCAATGAAAGCTGCACTAACAACAGATCAGTAGTTGCAAACACAATAGCATAAGGCACTACCAGTTCTGTAGCAACAGGCCACTTACACTTTTCTGAATCTGCAGTTCACAAAACAAACTGCCTTGGGCACAAATGAAAAGCATTCAAAATTAAATCTGCAGCTCAGTTTCATGCCATGCACTCAACTCAGTAGAAAAGTGATGGAAATATATACTTTTAGTCCACATATGTGGAAAAATGCAATAGCCAACCATTTCCAGAAGCAAATATCCTGCCAGGTGTAAAACAGTTTGCCTGCTTCTCCACCATTTTGACTGGAAGTCTGAGAAAGTTGTGTTCTGAAGGATGTAAACACTCCTCATTAAGTAAAGAAAAGGCAGTGAAACTGAAGGCAGTAGAGATGTCATTTCTTTAGAAGAATTCTTAGAATATCATAGACAAGAAACTCAACACTAAGTACAGAGAAAGAGAAGTGTTACAGAGTCAGTCACTCACAATCAGAAAAGAAGAACAATTTACATTAGAAAGCATATCAACAAAAAAAGTGAGGAAACAAGACATTAGCCTTATGGAATAAAAACATTATAGGAATAAACTCACAGGGAGCAAGTACAGCAGGGATCTACCAGTCATCAGTAGAAATTATCCTCGTCGACACGCATTTCGGCCCACGATTCCTAGACGCATTCGGAGGTGGGCCCTCCTGAGTTCATGAAGCTCAGGGCTGGTTCACTGCTGCACGGATGGTGTTTTACTTTCGACCAGAGACAAGACGACTTGGTGGTTTGCAGAAGGTACTGTGAGATAAGAAATTGCGCGGCAGCCTAATTAAAGCAGTCAGCGTGCCTGGACGACCGAGCGACAAGCTTACGATTGGTTTACCGGACACATGTTGGACTTCTATTAGCAGGTGGCAGAGGATCACTGGCAGACAATTCGGACACGATGGACTTTCAAGGGGTGAGAAACCCTTTTCCACTAGACACCCGGACCAGCTCACCGAGGCCCGTCCCCTACGTTGTTGCGTTGCGTCCAAAGCCAGCTAGAGGCCCTTTCGGCTGCCTCTCCCAGTTTTTGAGTGTTCGTTTCCGCTCATTACCGCGCAATCCTAGTTCTTTAACCACATTGTAGAGCGAAGTGGAAACGAGGCCTCTCGCTCCCACTTCGACGGCAAAGACCCGTACTGTGTACGCCTCGTTTCTCCTCAGACCGGCTGCTAAATCACTGTATTTCTCGAGCTTATATAAGTGATTCTCCTCCATACGCGACTCAAACGGGACGGTCAACAGATCAACAGAGAAAGATATGGAAAGTTTGACAAACTTCATACAAACATCACATGACAGTGGACAGATACGCTAGGATCACTAATATCTGCTCCACACCAGGCACCAACTGCAGAATAAAAATATGGAGTTAACATTCCTACCATTAATAAATGTGTAAACATTAGTTGGAAGTGATCTTACCAATTCTTCTACAAACTGAGCTGGCACAAGTCCACTTTCTTTGGTCCTCTCAGCAGTCACCCACAACCATTCATTCTCTAATTCATTGTGAACAATAAATGTATCACCCTTGTCAAAGCTGAAACCACAAGACATTAGAATTTAACACCTTCACTGTCTAGTTCTTGTCACTTAAATCCAGTACGTTAAACATTAAAATAAATGATAAACTTCATCACACCATCCTGATATGCTGTTATACATCACACAGGGATTGCAACTGATTCTCCCATTCCGTTCTATCCAGTGCAATGTTTGTGATATCACGTATGGGGTCTGGTCAAGGACGTATAGCCACTCTCATCAACAGCTGCCACAGGATTTATCTTGGACATCCTCAGTCCATTTCTATCCTACTTTAGTATCTGTTTTTTTTTTTCATTTCTATCCTATTCCAGTGCCTGTTTTTGCATTTCTATCCTATTTCAGTACCTTTTTTTTTTATTTCTATCCTATTTCAGTACCTTTTTTCATTTCTATCCTATTTCAGTGTCTGTTTTTGCATTTCTATCCTATTTCAGTGCCTGTTTTTGCATTTCTATCCTATTTCAGTACCTGTTTTTTTTTTCATTTCTATCCTATTTCAGTACCTGTTTTTTTTTCATTTCTATCCTATTTCAGTGCCTGTTTTTGCATTTCTATCCTATTTCAGTACCTGTTTTTTTTTTCATTTCTATCCTATTTCAGTGCCTGTTTTTGCATTTCTATCCTATTTCAGTACCTTTTTTTTCATTTCTATCCTATTTCAGTGCCTGTTTTTGCATTTCTATCCTATTTCAGTACCTGTTTTTTTTTTTTTTCTATCCTATTTCAGTACCTGTTTTTTTCATTTCTATCCTATTTCAGTACCTGTTTTTTTTTTATTTATATCCTATTTCAGTGCCTGCTTTTGCATTTCTATCCTATTTCAGTGCCTGTTATCATTGTCCACCTGATCTCAGAATGAGCTCAATATATTATCTTCTCTCTCTTAGACCAGTTAATACCAGCACCAATATCTAGACATTTCTCTGATTTCTTTGCCTTTCTTGAATTCACCCCAATTAATATTCATCGACTGCCTCGGGCATTTGTTTTCAAATGCATTTACCCCCGTGTGGGTTCCGGGGCCCTATTGTGGGGAAAACAAGAATAGACCCACTGCCTACCCAAAAGCATGTCGTAAGAGTCGACTAATTGGGGAGCTTCCTTTGAAGTCGGAGTGCATCTGCCGGAGAGGCAAGGAACAAAGTCTGTATTCAAGAGAACGAGATCTGTAAAACTGATGCAAACGCAACACTCAGGTTCTGGAGCAGGACTGCAGTTCAGTAGTGGACGAGCAACCAGAACTTTCCGCCAGAGTGTACAGCTGGTGAACGCGAAGAAGAAGAAGAAGAAGAAATGCATTTAAATCTCATTCCATGTCTTCTTCTTCTTCTTCTGTGTTCATCCGAAGATGTAAACACCTTGTGCCCGTTTACAGCATGGCTGAGATATCTGCGCCTTTCAGCCAATACATCTGACTTTTGCAGGCATTTGTTGACCGGATTAGGATTAGCCTTCCCAGATTCCATGTTTTAACACAAGCGTATCAAAAAATGAGTCCAGTCAAATATATAAACAAATATATATATATATATATATATATATATATATATATATATATATATATATATATATATATATATATATATATATATATATATATATATATATATATATATATATAATCCACAGGATGGGTGACGTCAGCCGCCTTTACTTCCCAGGACTGCACCCGTTACCAACTCAAGGCTGGGTCGACCTGGGAGTCAAGGTCATTTTATTTTATTTTAAAAAGTCCTGCTCCTATTTAAAAAACTTGTCAGCCCCAAGGAAAATCTTGAAGTCTTAACATATAAAGTAAAAATGCATAATGGCAGCTGTCAGATGTGCCAACACTAATGGTCGAACACTAGATGTGTCGCTCACTGTTGGCACAAATGGTCAATCATGAAAGCCGGCAATGCACTTAGCTAATTCAAGAAATGAACAACATGATAAAAGAAAAAAGAAAAAAAAAAGACTTACTTGAGTTCATCAGTTTCTGGCATTTTTCTATAGGAAAACATTGCCAGAACCCTTCGTCTATCATCTACTGGCTGTAGGAAGGAAACATAATACATGTTATGTTATATTTCAAATAAAGAAGAAAATAAAAAAAAGGCATTTTCATAAACTTGAAAAGATGACTCATGACATTTATTTATCTCCTTTTTGACTGCTTCGACCATAGACACATTGTCGTGCTGTAGAGTTTCTCTGATGTTTTCTTCCCATCTTGTTCTTGCTCAACATCCCTCTCCTCTTTTGGTATATACCTTGTATGTCTTAGCGTTCACCTGTTGTAAACACCAGCAGAAAGCTTTAACTGTTCATCCACTTATGGACTCAGGTATTGTTCCAGAACTTGAGATCTGTGTGCATATTCATTTTACAGGGCTGGCTTAACTGTATAAAGATTGTTGGTTCCTCATGTCTGTCAGATACATTCTAACTTTAAAGGAAACATCCTTGATCAGTCAGTTTAGTGACATACTTGATAGGGGGAAGGTCAATTTATTTGATACACACCCCCACCAACCCCATGGGACCCCGAAACCCAAAAAGGGATGTCATATAACAGAGGTAAAGATTTAAAACCAACTCACACAAAGCTCTTCGCAGAGATCTGTTCATGACTGCTTGCTGAATTTTGCAGCCAGTAAGCTGGTATGGCCAGTCTCCTGCTAACCCTCCCTAGATGATATTACATGCATGGTGGGTTACATTGTTACTATTCTGAATTTCCTTTATGGGCCCCTTTACACAAGAGCAATGTTGCAAATCTAGTAAAATGAAGCAAAGGACCATTTTCCACACACTTAGGTATACTGGGTACAAGCTAGATATTGTGAGGGACCTTTGGGATCATAACGATCTAAGGAGAATGGCTCTGCGAGGAGTTACCAGGGGATCTGGCCAACGCTCAACACTCAGGGGAAGGATGAGAAGGATATACAATCAGATGGTTACTAGTACCATCAGAACTGGAACTCTTTGCTTGTTGCTGAAGATGGGGACTGAGCACTTATGGGAGTGTCCCGAGTGCTGTGATGTTGATTTTTAATTCAACATTAGGTATACTGGGTATGGTGCCAGATCTCATTTTATTGACCAACTGGAATTCGGTGGGCGATATGGTCAATGTCATGCCAGCCACCTTTACTTTCCAGGATTTTACCCGGTACCCATTTTAGGCTAGGTGGACCTGGGAGCCGAAGTCAGGTGTCAGAAATGAAAATCTGACTTGATAGGGGTTTGAACCCATGATCTCCAGGCTTGCATCCAAGTGTCTAACAGCTAAAAACTCCTGTTTTACAAATCTATTATGCATTAAATTTCACATATTATGAGTTTTAATCCATATTTGTCTTATAACATCTGTGAATACGTTATGTAATGGAGGTTGAAAACATAAACTGTATGACAAATATACTTCACCAGGTTTGTGTATCTCTTTCTTCTTCTCCCTTTCTAGCCCGCAATGGAGCATAGGTCCTCAACCCACGCCAAGTCGTTCTATCCTTTACTATCGCATAGAACTCTCTCCATGTCCTCCCCACCTCATTAACCTCACTCTCCAGCTCCCTTCTCCATGTATTTTTGGTCCTCCTCTTTTCCTATACACCTGTGGGTTCCCGTGCAAAGACATTCTAGTTATATACTGCTCTCAGGTTTTCACAACTTGTGTCCTATCCAATGCCGGCATTTTTTCTTAACCTCTTGGTCAACTGGAACTTGTTATGTTCTCTGCATCAGTGATTCTATCATACCATTTAATTCCTTCTATTCTGCTCAGGCAGCATTTAATCAATGTTTGTAGTTTATTAGTAACTGCCTTTGTTCTCAATGTTTCTGCTCCACATAACAGTACTGCTTTGACATTAGACTTAATCATTCTAAATGTAGTATTAGTTTTAATTTCTGTTGACCCCCACAAATTCCCCAGTGCTATGAAAGCTCCTCTTGCTTTTTGTATTCATACTAGTTCATGTGTATGTCTAATGTACCAATAAAATCTATCTGACGGTGCTGTTTGTAATAACAGTGATGATTAAATTAGATTACGCACTGCGCATCGTTTAATTCATAAATCATTGCACTGGTCTGGGGCAGAAAGGTGTGAGCTAATTCTAGGTTATTTTGGGGACACCACCGGCGATGTTTAATGTTGTGGCATGTCACTGTTCATTGCGCCGTTCTGTGAGCAATTCACTAAGTCGCAGTTTGCTCGCTTGACACAGATGTCTCAGAATAGACTCACACCTCTGTGACCAAAAAGAGTCTAAGAAGCTATGAATGAAAGGTTAACGTCACGGTTACCATGAACAGCACCTATCTGACTACTGGTGCTGCACAAGCTCTGGAGCAACTTTGATTGCTGGCACAGAGATAAATGATTTAGTTTCATTCTCCCAATAGGTCAGAACCAATTTATTCGGTGTCGCTCTCAGACTTCAACTGAGGATGTGCCTATCTATAATATTTTTTATATCACATCATCTCTAAAGCTGTCTCTTCTAATGAAATTCTTCAGTTTTATTCATTTTATCTTAACATATTTTACTACTCTATGCAAAATCACCTGACCCCGCTACATCTTCTTCTTCTTATTCTTCGCCTTCACTGGCTGTAAACTTCAGCTGAAAGTTTTGGTCCCCCCCCCTCCCCGCTGGACTTTAGCCTTGTTCAAGAGATAAAGTTTTGCATGCACATCCGTTTTACAGATCTGGCTTATTTGTTTGCTGATTGTTGCTTCCTTGCCTTTCAGGCACATGCATTCTGACTTTGGAGGAAGCATAGCTAATTAGTCAACTTGTATGACGTACTTGTTTAGTCAACTTTTATGACATACTTTTTAGGGGGCAGAGGGTCTTCCCCCCCCCCCTCCCCCACAATGGGGCCTTTGAACCCGCACAGGGAAATCTCCTTACAATAATATCAGCCCCTAGGATTCACATACAAAAGTAAAGGACCATCGCTTTCAGGGGTACTGGACAAATAAGGCTAGATCTATATTTTATAGACTAATTGGGACTCAGTGGGTGATGTGGTTAGCATTATGCCAACCGACTTTACTTCCCAGGACTATAACAGGTACAAATTTAAGGCTGGGTTGACCTGGGAGTGAAAGTCATTTTTAAAAAAATATTTTTAAAAAGTCCCGCTCCGACAGGACCCTAACCCCATAACCTTGAAGGATTCGCAGGCTAGCATCTAGCCACTATACCATGCCGCTCCACTCTCTGGGATTACCCTTTGTTCACTTTTACAATCACAATAGCTTACCACTGCTGGAGGAACTGGATATTTCAGCTGCTCATTCTTGAAGAGGCATGAACAGGAAGTGTAGTACCCTATTAAATCTGATAAAGATTCAAACTGGCGCCCACCAATGTAGTAATCACCGCACATGGCAATGATCCTTAAAAGAACAAATATATATATCAAAGTAAACATACAGCAAAATATCAGACATATGCTAAATTACCAGCATCTATTATACAAACAAATAAATGCCAACATAATACCTTGAGATGCATATTTAAAAACAGTTAGAATTGCATCACATTGATAGGATAAATACAGTATATTCTGCAAATGTTAAGAGTCGAGATGATCAACTCCACTGCTTTTTTTGCACAGGACAGGAAAGCATAGAAAGTCCTGTCTAAAGCCTCATGTGCCGCTGGGCATAAAGAGAACTGATGATGAATCAATGGCTACTCCGAACAATAAGGGAGATAAAATGCCACCTTGTTTTACTCGTTTCCACCAAAAACCAGTCACTTCAACCATTTTCGGTGCGCACTGCCCATTCTGAACCATTATATAAATTTCTAATAATGTGTATTCATCTGGCTGTTATGCCAAAGCATTCCATAATTCTCCACTGTGAAATTCTATGTAAACTGTAACCTGCCAAAAGCATTCTTGAAATCAATAAAATTCAGGATGAGAGGTTGTTGCTTCTCAATGTGTTCTTGTATAATCAGTCAGGGTAATTAATTGATCCAGACAAGTTCTTTCAGTCAAAAACTAGCTTGTTCTCCCATGATCGTATCAACTGCCCCTTAATTCAATTGAACATTACTTTGCAAAAGGTTTTTGATATAACAGATAATTCCTCTCCAATTACTGCAGTCGTTAGGACATCCTGTTTTTTTTTCTCTTGTTTTCTTTCTTTTTTGTGGGATTTTCACAATTATTCCTAGCTTCCATTGTTCTTGGACTGTTTACTCTTCCCATATTTTGTTAAAAAGTTCAAGCACTTGTTGGATAGTTGTCTCATCTGCTCCTTTGAGAATTTCTGCAGTAATGCTATCATCACCCACCATTTTGTTATTTGCTATGGAATGTTTTGCCTTTTTGATTTCCGTAACATTAATCTGCCCCTCATTAATGGGAAGTGTGGTCTTTTTTGTCTCTTCTTGAAACTTTATTAAGTCTAGTGGGTAAGTCCTGATTAAGGTCTCCTTGTAATGTTCTGCCCATCTTTTCTAATTACATCAGTAATCACAAGAATATACAGTCTTTATCAGGTCTGTTTTCCTGTGACTATTACGTCATTTTTACCTAGCTATCATGATATTTATCTCTGTTTTTGTTGTCTTTTCTCCCACAAATTTACCCATTGACATTCTTCTTCACATTCACTGGCAGTAAACTCTGGCGGAAAATTCTGGTTGTACATGCATCTCTGGACTTAAGACTTGATCCAGAATCTGAGTGCTGCATGCTCATCCATTTTACAGATCCAGCTTATTTGTATGCAGACTACTGGTTCTTTGCCTCTCAGACAGATGCCCTCCCACTTCAAAGGAAGCCCCTAATTAGTTGACTCTTACAACATGCTTGTTGGGAAGGCAGTGGGTCTATTCTTATTTCTTCCCCCTAACTGGGTCCTGGAATTCACATGGGGACACTGTCATTCAGTTTCCATGTTCACCTATTGTAAGACACAGAAAAAACGTTTTACTGTCAATATCTAATAAGGTAATCAATTTGCTTTTTATCCACCACCCAGTCAATACAACTAATAGTGGGTCAGTGCCTTACTCCAGGAGGAATAAGCTAAAAAAAAAAAAAACAACATAAGATATAAGAAGGTGCCATGTAGAGTGACAAGATACCTGACAGCAAAAAAAAGCTAACAGCTACCTCAAGTGAAAGACATGAAGCGATCATGATGATGATGGTTGAATTCTCTATAGGACTGCAAAATATTCACGGCTGATTAAGTTCATTACCTGAAATGAGTGGGTGGACCATGACCCAAATATGAGAGTACAAAAGAGCCAGGCTTGCTGTCACTCTCTCGGATAAGGTAACTTCCAATTTTTCCACTAATCCGAAGACAATCTTCAGCCGTCTGTCTGTCAAGCCGTCCATGGTACCAGCTGAAAAGTGAAAAAAAATATTTAAGACAATATACATACATTTTAGGTAATGTCCTGGGAAGTAAAGGCAGCTGACTTGATGCTGGCACATCACCTATAGAATGCTAATTGGTCTATAAACAAAAATATGAGTTTAGAATCACATGCCTATTATGCCACTGGTGTAAAAAGGAACCTTTAACTACCTACTGACTTTGCTTTGATTATGTTGTATATTTTCAATTTTGGTTTCAATCAACTCCATCTGCAGCTATTATCAGCAGGAATGTCATTTGATCATACTTTTATGTTCACTGAACAATCTCTACTGCACCAGTTGAATGCTGTACAACTACTGCCAACTCTGATGTTACATTTTATTAACTTTCGGCTATCCTCTGAATAACGGTCCCAAATTATCGAGGCCGAAAATATACCCTAACAGGGCCTCAGTCACATGTCAATTGCGGACTTCCGGCGACTTCCACCATCGCGGAGAGTATCTCCCACGCCACTACCCGCGGCATTGTTGGGGCTAAACTAGATGGCTAGGACTCACGAGCAGCAGCTACAGCATCTCCTGCAGCTTCCTTCATTTTATTTGCTCGTGAGTCCCAGCCATCTAGTTTAGCCCCAATCCATGTCGCTCATAGCGGCTTGGAAGATACTCTCGGCGGTGGTGGTACAGTCCCCGGAAGTCTACAATTCAGCGGTGGCAGTATAGTCCCCGGAAGTCCGCATCTGACATGTGACCGAGGCCCTCTTAGAGTATATTTTCAGTATCGATAAATTGGGATTGTTATTCGGAGGATAGCCTAACTTTCATTTAACCTGGTACATAGTCTGCTGGGGTGTTCCATCCTTATCTGGAGAGACTGCTGATGTGAGTATTTGAGAGGCAGTAGCAGACTTGACGGTGAGCCACTAATTCACCCATTCATCATCGTTCCAAAATGTATTGCACAGACATGTGCTATGAAGCCTGATCCCTCTCTCGGCCTGCTTGCTCTAGATGTTATCATCCTACTTTTTTTTCCAAATCTACCTTCTGCTCACCTGCTTTCAGCTTTGCTCCATTATGAATTTTATAACAGTGGTTTGGCATTTAATGTGGCAAAAATATTTCACCCGTGTTTTATCTTAGTGCTCTTAACAACTCTCTTTTCATTCTGTCTATAGCCTATAAATATTATTTATTTTTTTGCTCCATTAAATATTTTGATATTCACATCAATTTAACTTTGGGCTCTCCTTTAAACTACGGCCGGTAGACAACAGTAGATGGCCGGTGAGTAGGAGTTCAGTCCCTTGGCTACAGTGCAATTACGGACTGGAGAAGGCACGAATCAGAAAACACAGTGAGGTCGACATGCCTGGCAGACCCCGCGCTGCGACTCAAATTAGCGACCGCATTCAATTACCGCGTCTTGCGACGCATTACGAAGTGGACTAGAGGGAACGACACAAGTGACATAATTACTGTGTGTTGGCGATAGACAGCGTGCAGTGCCCTACTGTCATCATACGGTTTTTGGTTAGGGTTAGGGGTAGGGTTTGGGTTAGGTTAGGGTTTGGGTTGCTACTATGAGTTTGTGCGAAGATGAGATGCCGCGACTCTAACCGTAACCCTAACCACACACTAACCCTAACCCACACCCTACCCCTAACCGTATGATTATAGCAGGGCAGTGCACGCTGTCTATCGCCAACACACAGTAATTATGTCATTTGTTTCGTTCCCTCCTTTCCACTCCGTAATTGAACTGCAGCAAGGGGACAGAATTCCGACTAACCGGCCGTCTACTGTTGTCTACCGGCCGTAGTTTAAAGGAGAGCCTAACTTTGTAACTACTTTTTTTATTAATTAGACTAATTCATTAAAGAGTATACTATACACACACACATATGCATACATCCGGAGGGTTCAGGCAGGTTCAGTGCGAAGACAATGGCTTGAATCAATTCAGAAGTCCACTGTGCGAGGAGTCACCTTTATTTTTGTTCCGGGACACGCAGGCGTCGATGGAAATGAAAGAGCTGACAGGTTGGCTGGATCCGCTATCACTACCGACGGTCGGCCTATGGATCATGCTGATATTATCAATGCCCTCAGAGAAATGGGAAGGATAGAGGACTTTGGTGGCAGTGAATCCACATCACTCGCCAGAATGGCAGACTTGGGAATTAAGATCGGCACAGCAAAAAACGAGACGCACACCGGACACGTCAGAAGACTTGTTAATCAACATAGAACTGGTACTATTAGCCATCGGACGTTGGGATTCATACTGAGGGGAGGATCTGAGCACCTATGGACATGTCCGGAGTGCAATGATGATAACCCAACTAACTAACTAACTAACTAACTAACATATGCATACACATATGATAGTACTGAATATTTATTAAAAAATGTTCACTATTTATATGACAGAGTATTGTTTATATCTCTACTTGGCTGTTACTGGTACCCTCAGAACTGGAACTGAATCTCCTGCTAAAGATAGGGACAGGGCGCTTATTGAAATGTCCCAAGTGCTGTTCTTTTGATTCTCAATTAACCATTACCTCTCCACTACATATTAACTCTCTCAGCACCAGAAAATGCACAGTATGTTCAATGGTATCTTTACAAGGACACAATCCTTTACTCTTGTTGTCGCATTCTTTAATGTGAGCCCTTAGAATCTCAACTTTTACTACAACTCATTCTGTACAAACTTGTACTTTTTAAATTCTATCAATACTTTTTAATTCTATAAGACTAAAAGTACAATAACTGTGGCTCCAAGATATCAAAACTTGAGGATAAACAGTGCAGAAATAGCATCTACTTGGGTGTTGTGAATGTTAGTTAATATTCTGTTTATTCAATACTGCAAATTTTTTTACCGTTTTTTTTTTTTCCTATGGCATCACCTGTTGTTATAATCATTAATTCAAGAGAGAAGAGATATGTTACCTGACTTAATAAATAATATATTTCCGTTTACTATTTGTAAGTCAGTCAGACCCACTTCACTCCTGTCTGCTAACTCTTAATTATTGTGGTTTTCATTTCGTTAAGTAAATTAAATAATTAGATACCAGATACCTTAACCTCACTTCATGAAGCACAACAACAACAAAAACTAAATAACAACATTAAAAATTAAAACCCGTTGAATACAAGTAATAAAATTGCAATCTAACAATATTATAACGCACATACTGCTGAGATAAGCGTTAACCTAAGATTATATACGAGAAATATAGCAGAAATACAAAAGGAAGTGGGCAGCAGAAACGAGTGAGCAAAACTATCAGTGATTAGTTAGTACTACCGTCCGTCCTTAAGTAACGTGAACAAACGGGAAAAGTACTCAACAACTGAAAGAAAAGACGGCTCATACCTGCAAACATCCTCAATCACACGCAACAGACAATTAACTTTATGACCAAAAAACAATCAGTCTTACAGTTTTTCATCCGGTGCCTTTAATTCACTTTCAATATGTTCTTCGGTGCATTCTAGATCGCCCGATCTTGGATCAAATTCATCATTCCCGTCTGAATTTGGTCCGTCCGCAGCCATTTTTCTCATTCTACAGTGAATCGTTTCATGGACTTTCATTGGCTGAAAATATGTCATTGACCACAGTGTGAAGGGTCGTCCCACCCACGCATAACAAAAAACGATTCATTCACTTCCTCGTGAGCTCATTATAATATTTTAGCCTTACTACGACCCAAAAGACAGTCTGTTCCACGAATGAAATCATTAAGTCCTGGCCGGGCACGCAATTCACAAACTATCGCTCTCTTTTGAATGAATGAATGAATTTCTACCCCACCAGGACATCACACAAGCGATAAACACCCGATGACACAAAGTGCCACCATGTGGGTGAGGATCACCGTGGAGAGGTCCCAGAAACCGCGTTCAGACAATTGGCCTGTCTATATTGTGGCCCCTGGCAAAAGCCAGAGTGGGGCTTCAAATAACAAAAAATACGTCCTGAAAAGGACGTAAGATAATTCAGTATCGCTCTCTTTTCCAGAAAAGGATCCAATGTTACACTTTTTAAACTCTTCCTACCAGGTAGTTTGTTATTCCTTTAAATTTAAAGGGTGTGTTTTTTTTTTTTTTTTTTTATAATATCGTGTAGACTCACAAGTACTACTATATAGCCCATTGCATCATTAGGAAGATATAAAACTCACAACTTTCACTGAGTTTTCTTGATACAAACATCAATTTTTTGACTTCGGACTGGACACTTTGGTCTTCGAGCACACCTGTACAGGATAGGCATACAAGAATCTGCTGCCTGTGATTGTGGAGCAGAAAGACAGACCCCTGAGCACATACTGCAGTACTGCCCTTACCTCTCCCAACAAAGACTGTGAATCTGGTCCAGGGGATCCACATTGCGAGAGAAGCTATGGGGGACCGGTGGCGACCTTAAACGCACAATCCTATTTTTGACCCAGACGGGACTCAATGTGTAGCATGACTGATGTCGAACGCAGAAGAAAAAGGTAAGAATAAGGGTTGCATTTAATTTTGTGACCTAGTAACTATCGTTCTCCAACCCTAGGTCTCCACCCCAATACTCTTCAATGAGTTATAATCAGTACTTTTTTTATGCAAACGAAAGTGCTGGTACTCACCATAAAGTGTCAGTACTTACCACAAAGTGTCTATTACAGTAGCGCTGGAGAAAAATTATGCCTATAAAGGTGCCAGAGGAAAAAACCTGATTATAATTTTACAGCCTTACTACCACCCCAGGACAGCCTGTTATTGCAATTACATCATTTAGGCCGGACCAGGCACGCAATTTACAACTCTAACTCTCCAATGTATACACAGTAGTGGTCACCCGTGCACACAACGTAGGCCTGTCCAGAACAATGTCGTATGCAGGCGATCTCCTTGTGTATCTTCGAGGAAGAAACGGGCATTAAATTATAACAACGATGCAATAAAAATTAACCAGGCTCAATGAATGGTGCCAGGGATCAAGAGAACAGGTAAACCAAGTAAAGACCTTCTTGACATGGCTCTTTTTGAATACCCACATTGTCAGTACATCTATGCCACTCGTAAGCATGTGTGGTATAGACATCGAGAGAACGGACACGATAAAAAAAATGGGCATGACTTTCGACAGATGCCTGTCACACAAGTACTGCGTAGACAATGTCATACTTAGAGTCATGAAAGGTGTGTCAGTACTCAAAGTGTTGGCAGCAGTCGATAAAGTCTGGGTCGACCTGAGAGTCAAGGTCATTTTTGAAAAAAGTCCGGCTACGCCAGGAAGCGAACCCACAACCTTCCGATCCGCACGGGAGCGTCTAGCCGCTACGCCATGTCGACTCCCAACATGTAGTATACGCTCTAAATCGGTAGAAAGCATTAGAAAATTGCACCTAACCTCTCTCACCTAGATCTACACACCTTTTCATGTCCGCGTAAATGGTAATGAACGAGCGGACCAACTGGCAATCAATGCACCAAAGCATGCGGGTAAAGGCCTGGGCAGAGCTGATATAATTAAATATGTACTGACTGTGCTAGTGGATAACAATGAATCTCACTGTGCGACATGAGAGTAAAGCCTGATGAACCACGTATATGCCGCCTTCGATGCCGAGATAGGAGACATCATAACCAACTCCTGGGAACAATCAGTAGAATTCCCTTAGAGTGGCTGCTGCATCGGAGGACTGAGCACGCTTGGAAGTGTCCAATGTGCAGTGTCGTCGACTGTTATAACATAACGTCTTAGATAAGGATGAGTACTTTATAAGATATTAAATTCACTCTACCAGGTAATTTATACAAGTTGCCGGTTAAAAAGAGCAAAGTCATGGGGAATGGATGGGGGGGGGGGGATCCTAGGTTTCACGCCTTCACTGATCAGAAATGGATTAACAGAACGTTGCTCCTGTTTGGTGCATGTCATAAGCTGGGCAGCTATCTGTAAACTTCATTATGACATCACCATGTGCGTCTGCACCGTGATGTCACGTGTTTAATATTCTTAATATCCTTCATTTTGATAGTGGAGGTTCTAAAAGGCTAGGTAATACTAAGATACTAAGAAACAAACAAGCGTCAGTAACAATTTGATTTCAAAGACTGTACTTCAAGGAACATGAAAGAGAGGGGGGGGGGGGGTGTAGTCGAAGAAGAGGAAGACGAAGAACCTGGAATGACAACATCAAGAAATGGATAGGACTAAGTTATCATACACGTATTCATCAAGCTGAAGATAGCGAAAGATGGCGGGTTTTGTGTGCTAGTGCCTCTATCAATATACCTCTAAGGCCCTAATAGGTCAAGGGTTATGTTATGTTATGTTAGAAATCAAAAGAGGACTCTATGACACAGCTTCCTTACCAACTGTGTGCAACCAATGCCAGACCTGGATAATGACAGAAAATGAAACAAGAAAGATTACAACTAAAATGTTGTTACGAAGGGCTCTTAATATAACAATAAGAGATAAAATCACGAATGATGAAATCCGATGGAGAATGGGTGTAGCGGCAGCTCTGGATTTCATTAGAAGACAACAGGGAAAATGGTTTGGCCATGTAACGTGGATGTCTGGAGACAGTATACCACAGCAAGCAGTGATGTACTGACCAGGCGGAAAGCTAAGAGGCCGACTATGCAAACAATGGACAGAGAGAAAAGCAGAGTCCCTGGGAATCCCCATTAACAAAGCGTACAAAAAAGGCACTTTTCGTAAATTATACTTCACCTGGACACAGCAAGGTACCAGAGAACCTAGCGAGCATCACATACAAGCGGTTATTAAAATAAACAATTTTGTTTTTAAAGAAAATAATATGAGCCATAAATAAACCGTCAGGATTACCATATACAGCCACAAACAAATCAAGAAAATATTATGGGTACCATTTTCAATCACAACCAAGGGAGGGTCATATTATGCAATATTACAGGAATTTAAAAGAAATACAGTAAGTAAACCATCTACTGCCTTCATCTCCTAATAGAGTTTGGGACTTTAATCACCTCAAGCAATACGGTCAGATCCTATTGCAAAGCTCACCCTATATCCTCCCATTCTCTTTAACTTCACTCTCCAGTTATAAAACACCAAAAATAATGTAAATGCATGGGTCACATCCATGGCCAGCTCCAGATTTATACATACAGCCGGACGTGGGTCACATCTACCATAGCCATATTTCATCAAAGATTCGCATGGGCTTTAATCAAAATTTGAAAAGGTTTCAAACGAAAACCTTAAAAGTGTGAAAGAAATTACAATAATAATGGCATTATCGTGTAACCTGTGGTTAAGAATGGCAAGAGTATTAAGAGTGTGGCAGCATGGAGCAGACAAACACGGTGACATCATAATTCTGCTATGCCTATGTTTTTTGAGTCGTCTCTGTGGATAAGTCGATGTGAGCGCTTCGTAATGCCGGGGTGCCGGTTTCGATCCCAGCTGCAGGCCATGCAGTATTAGGGGGCCGACTGTCCAAGAAGCAATGGCAAACAGTGGACATAATTTGCCTAGAGAAACCACACATCAGCCAGGGGCTGCTGGTGTTGGTTCTGCAACGTCCTGTAAAGGATACGCAACTAACTAACCTGTGTGTGTGTGTTTTTTTTTTTTTTTTTATCAGCTAAGGGAAGAACGGCGAATTCAGGTTCAATATAGTGATGCAGGAATGTCTGTCCAGCAAGTGTACGAATAGAGAAGAATGTTTCAAAACGGCTTGACTTCTGTAACAGACTATTCACGACCAGGTCAGGCACACCAGTAGTGACCCCAGAGTGAATTGCAGCCATTATGAAACTTCATATTCCACTCATAGAATTGCTGATCTGACAAGCATTCATTACGATACTGGACCTTAATTCGCCAATGAATTTCTACAAGTTTCATCCCTTGACTGATTAAAAAAAAAAAAAACGAAACGGATAACCGAACGCTGCTCCTCTTTGGTGAAAGTCAAAAGTGGGGCGGTGGTCTTGAAACTGTCAATATGGCGCCATCATGTTCGTCTGCATCGTAATGGGACGTGCTTAATTCTCTTGTAATTTCTATCATACTTTTAAGGCTTTTATTTGAGGCCTCTTGTAGTGTAACTGTACGGTTGAAACGGGGTTACCGAGATGTATACACGTAGGATTATCACACCTGCTGTGTTCTGCCTTCATGGAGAAGACAAACTGCAGCCGCTAATTACTTACTAGTACACGCGGAAATTCCAACCATGGCAACAATCTTCGGATTTTAATGTTTGTTTAAGTATAAATTATCGTTCATAAACGTGCAGAGAAATATTATGTCAGATAACTGATTCTCAAATGTCTACTTTGTAAACATTTTTAAAAATGTTTACACACTTTCCTGTCGGCGTTTGTGCCTTACGCGCTGCGAACTCGCTTCGTAATGCCAGGGTGCCGGGTTTCATTCCAGCTGCAGGCCTATCGCCTTTTGTTGGTTTCGATAGTGGTACCGAAAAGCCAACCGTCCAGAAAGCAATGGCAAACTACTGGATGTAATTTTGCATAGAAAAACCACAACAGCCAAAAACTGA